TCAGAAAGTGTGTGCAAATGTCAAATCAAAATGCTATGGCTATATTCTTAATAAATGCTTCCCTTATGAATATTAGGCAAATTGTCCCTTCTATAAATTGATCCCTAAAATAATTATAAATTTATTGACCCTGAAACCAATGTTTGATCAGCTTGGTGTCAAGACCGGCACTGGCCATATCTTTGGTTCGTATTTGAAATCTTTGGTTCAGTTCGAAAATCTTGTGGTTGTTAAAAGTACCTTACATCTCTTGCTAAAACAAATTTAAACACAAGTGGTACTCCTTTGCTTAGTGGCTCAGCATTTACACAAAATAATGATCTCATATCTTCCTAGTTACTTTGCTTGTTTCCGAGGGCTATCACTCATCTGACACTGAGCTAATCTCTTATCATTAGAAATCGCAGCATGGAAGTATCATCACTTAACAAAAAGTATTTGACAAATGGACCAGCATTTTGTTTCAATACAAAAAAAGGAAATAAAAAAATGGGAGGGCCAGAGAAAGCCATAGTCATCCTCTTATATAGACTGAATTACAAAAGGGCAGAGCAACCAACTGATTTAATTGTGACAATATATTCCAATGATATGTAAGCTGCATCCCTACAAAATTTATGCACCTTTTCTCCACTAAAGCAAGGGATCGAGCATAAACACAGCAAAATGTATATTCTCTACCAGCACTTATCCTGGTTTATTGATTTTTGTATCTGTAACGATCAAACACTCTTCGGTATTGACAAGCCACACTATTGGGCTCCAGTCAAGTTTGCAGGCACTGCGTTCACCGCACTACGAGTCCTCCCTATTCTTGGCATTGAGAACATACTAAACAGGCCTGAACTCGAGCTTCCCACGGCTTCTCCAGAAGGTGTTCTATTAGAGCTTTCGTTTATATCCTTTAAACCAGACATAGACTGAGTGTGCTGAAGTGGACCCTGTGATTGTCCAAATGGAAAAGAAAAAAAAAATCAGCACTCTGTACAATGAAATTTAGTTTCTAATGAACGACTACATACCTGTTGAGATCCATTAGGGGTTGAAGGCAACTGGGATTCACGGGGAGAAGCAGGAGGCAAAGATAGAGTCTGCTAACATTCAAACACCATGGAGAAGAAGTAAGCAAAAGAACATAACTACTCTTAATAACGTGATGAATATTTACTCAATGTACCCTTAATGATGGTGTCACAGGAGCTGCCTCAAGGGCTGGCACAGAGGAAGTCGATGGCAAAGCCTACACATAAAGCCAGTCTGGGTGAATAAGAGAAATTGCAGATAACGTATACATTTCTCTAAAATACACTGCGTACTGGAGAAGGCTCATACCTTATTAGACTCTTGAAGTCTTTTGTGCTCCCTACACTGAGCATGCAGAGCTCCAACTCCTTTAAGCGTTAGATCCTTTATGGATGGCAAAGAAATTCAAATTCAATCAACACAATGCCTGATGAACAAACAACATTCTCCAACTAAAACTGTGACAAATGTTACCTGATTTCCCTCAATGCGATAGACTTTGCTTGCCTGAAATAACGAAGATCACAAGATAACCTCTGTTTTTAGGAGGAATAAACTGGTTAACATAATATGCAATTACTAAATTTTCTCACCAGAGTTTCAACAGCCTCGAAAACAGACCTAACGTCATCCTTCATATTTGCTGTACCATCCCGTAGTTCATTCACCTAACAGTTAGATAAGTCGTCAAGAAAGTATTTAGGATCATCTGAAAGCTTTGCCAACGCAGTGAATACATTCAATCTAACATACCTCTCTTCCTGTTTCTTTAATAATTATTGTACTTGCATCCAAAGTACGATCCATCCTGTCAATTTCTGAACCTAACTCCCGCTTGGTACCCTGTAATGAAGTGTTAACAGAACCAGAGTGAGACAAAACAAAGATGTTCTGCAACTAAATCAAAATAACAAAAGGAACCATCATAACTGATCAGAATTAGTTCAATGGTCATGTCAAGAAAATATGGGAAGTAAGAACTTACCGAGAGGGATTCATAAAAACCATCGATCTGGCTGCCAACGTTATTACATGCATCTGACAAGCTGCGCCTTGTCGCAAACATAAAATCTGGAAGTTTCCAGCCCTGAGAATGTTACAAAATAAATAAGCGCCCAGTCAGACAAATAAAGATAAAACTACAAATAAATGAGCCAGGTCCAAGTAATTGACAAGGAGAACCAAATGAGTTTTTTTTTCCAGAATACAAATTTTTGAGTAGCCAACAGCAATTCAAACGAGCAAAGTAACTATTTCAAGTAGATCAATGATGGTGAAGTATATTTACCTTCCACCATACATATCCGTAGCCTATAACCCCAATAATAATGATCCAACCATACTTTTTACCACCTGGAAAGTAAAGGAAATTGTCAACTCAATTAACATAAAGAAAAAATAATTTCATATTAATGAAATGATTTGTTAAAGCTATGACTAAGCCATTGATCAGAACATTAGCCTGCCCCATTAACCATAGCCAGAAAAATAAAAGATTGAGACAGGTTCTAGTGCGCTTTTTCACATCAACATAATAACCAAACCAAATCGCTCATTTGCCACAAAATTTTAATGCACAAGATTTCAGAACAGAAAGGAATAGAAAGCTTCAACATAGAAACAATAAAAGACCTGATCCTCCAGTCGAAATAATAGTAATAGGTCTGTTTGAAGCCAGCAACTGCAATTCATGCCTAAGACTGTTAACCTGCAAGACAAAAAAAATAGAGATCAGACAAGTAAATCCAACTCCTCCACAGATCCTTCTTATTCATCACTATCTAACAACTTATCCTCGCCAGTAATTAGATTATTTTCAAACTAACCTGAGCTGAAAGTGTATCATTGCGAGGCTTACTGCCTGACTTGGCAGGTTCTTCTTGTTTCAGCTGCCTCAGTACAATCTATCATGAGAAAAATAAACCATTACCCCCATTATTCCAAACAGTACCATACACTTTTGCACCCAAAACTTTGTTGAATAAAGAAAAAAAAGGTGAAAACTTTTTCATGTCAGAGGAAGGATGAAGTGTAAGAGAGAAGCTTAGATACCTTAAAAGCACCCGAGACGAAATGAGATACATCAGGTAAGCTCCCTTCTTTAGCAAGCACTGACCCAACAAGACCTAAAAGTAAAGACAATACAGTAATAAGATACCAATAAACTGAACATAATAAAAATTTCTCCTCTAGCAACAAAGTGAACACACTAAAAAGATCAAACTTTTTACTCAAGATGATTAATTGATTAATACCCATTTGAGAATAGTGATCATTCTACAGGAATCAAAAAGGATTTATCTAAAACCCTAATTTCTCATCCTCCAATTGCCATGTCCCAATTAAGGAACCGAGAAGCAATGATTGTGTAATAAAATAGAAAACCCGTTTAATGAACGGACCTGCACCGATGAGGATAGTGAGTTTCCCAAGAGGAAGAGCCATATATGATTTTGATGCCTTGAGACGAAAAAAACTCTAACCCTGCGAGCTTGTTACGGTTAAAGATTAAGGTGGCAGAGGAAGAGGCATGAGAAGATCGAAGAGAGAATTGGTGGAAGAGAGAGCTTAGGAGAGGTGGAATCGGAGGAAGAGAGAGGCTGTTACGACGACTACAGAGGGAGGCGGAGAGAGAGAAGAGAGAGAGAGAGACAAAAAAAAATTGGAGGCGACAGTGTTGTGTTGTGTTCCTCAAGTGACTTGAGAAACAATAGTTTCTCTCTCTATTTTTTTTAAATATTTTTTTTGTGTGGGCCGAATGAAATCAAAACGGGGATGAAAAGGGCCTTATTAGAATATGCTCTGAAAAGATGCCCACGAGTTACATCCTTTGATATTTGTTTTAATTGGAAAAGTCATAATAACCATAGAGCCTTTCTATGCTCACGAGACTGTATTTGTTTAGGTTCCAGAATATAAGAGAAGAGGAAGAGGAAGAGGAATGCACATTAAAAGTGTCTCGTGAGATTTCCTGCATGTTCTTTTTGTTTTGGTATTTATGCTATTCTTGTGTTAGATTTGTTGAGCTCAACTAGAAATCTATGATGCTGTGAACTTTTATTTATATAAATGTTTCAATAGTTAGTAGATTCAATATTTATCTATGATGCTGTGAACTTTTATTCAGATGCGTTTATTTCAGTCAGATGTGTGTGTGTGTTTCTTTTTGATACGTAGAGTATATCAAATCAGACAAAATAGAATTCAGAACAGATGACACATTACAAAATATATCTTAATTTACACTGGCGCTTTTGTGTCTGTTATAGAGATGTCCTAGTAATGATGAGTTATGTGTCAGACAAGTTCCATGTTGCAATGTGTCATCTGGACCTAAATGAAAAGCTCTGCAATATTAAATCTAACAGGATTGCAAAAGGGGTTTCCAACAAGTAAATCTAAAATGATCTCAAAATGGGATGTGAAACTGAAAATATAAAAACAAGAAAACAAAACTTTACATTAGATATAAATTTGACCAACAAACCAGAAATGGACAATTACTAGTAGATGAGTTGAATACTTAGTTGCTAAAAATATATCTATATGAGAATCTCTCTTTAATAACTTCTTAAATCAAACAAAGATAGATTTGTTGGCCCACCTTCTCAACCTATGTAATGTACCTACTACATTAAATACCTAATTACTTTGTTCCTAAGCAAACATAGATATGAGTTTCTGAAAATGTGGCTGTTACCACACCACCAACCCAATGGGAAAAAGAAACTGCAAAAACCTGAAGAGAATTCATCATACAGTTTGAAAGCTAACCGATTATCAACTCTTCTGATAACTAAAGATGACCTAAACAAAACCAGTAATGAATAGATAACACTACTAGGTAAGAAGACTTGGATCAATATTTCATTATATTAAAATTAAAGCATTTATAGCTTTTGTTTAATTGGATTCCAAGAACAACAAAGCATTTGTTTAGAAAATCAAAAAGAGCTTTATTTAAGAAGCGAGATGCTTCACGCATTCGGATTCCAAAGTCTCCAAAAACGCGAGTTTAATAAACCCATCACGTCCGGTAACACCTTCCTCGCCAAACCCTTGTGCCTAGTCACCGCCGCCACCACCGGAAACCTCAACATTTCCGTTTCACCAACCAACCTCTCCGGTGACTCCTGGGTCTTAACTTCATCAGAAGCCACCACCAACACAGGCTCCACCGGTTCTGTTGTTTTACTAGCAACCGGTTCTTCAGGTCGAACCAAGTTCTCCACGACCCCGCGACGACGTGATTTCTTTCTTCCTCTGACGTTTGATTTCTCGCTCTTGGTTAGATGGTCTTCGTAAGCTTCGATGATCTGGTGGATGAGCTCACGGTTAGGGGAAGAGTCCCATCGAAGCCAGTAGCTTGTGTAGCACTCAAAACATTCACAATCGAAAAGAGGAGGTTTATGAAGAGTTCTTGATTTCTTCTTCGAGCTTCTTGAAACGGTGTTGCTGGTGGTGGGGAGTGTTCTGGTGATTAAGTAAGCAAGGACTTGTTTGTCTTCAGGGGAGAGAGAGGAGACGAGAAGGAGAATCACAGCTGGGAGAAGCTTCAAGACAGAGAGACAGTCATCTCCTTTGGATGAAGAAGAAGAAGAAGGAAATGATGGAAGAGGAGGAGATGGGTGGACTTTACCTTTCTTCTTTATTTTCATGGCTGACGACGACAGAGAGAGAAAGAGAGAGTTTATTTGCTGCGATTTTTTATAGGTTTAGCAGAAGGAGAATAAAGAAAACAGAGTAACTTGGCGTTCAATTTTTCATGTTTATTTATTCTACGCTTATTTATTCCCTTATTTTATTAAGAAAAATTATCATTTTTCCCTTTTTCTGACCGCAAATCTCAATAATATATTCTCTTATAGAAAATTCCTTTATTTCTTTTCCGGTTTCAGTAAACTCCAAAATTTTACACAATGTCAATTTGAGGATTTTCGATTGAAAATTTGGGTAGGTGTAGCCATTTTATCTTTTAAATCATTTTTATAAAGTAATCATACTTTAGTTTTCAAATATAATTATATATCCAAAAGTTAAGAAAAAATACTCTGAAATGAATACAATAAATATAATCTGTATATATAGCATATGGTTTCGAATAACAACAGTTTAAATTACATTGCACCGCACAGTAATAGATAATAATAATAATATTTATATTTTTTTTTGTTATTTTAAAAATTTCATCATAGTACCAAAATCTTATAATTTGAGTGAAATTTTATACGAGCCAAATTCCGTAAACTAGAATATTGACTTATGGATCTGACTAGCCCAAATTGTAACTATATGCTAAATACTTTTAGACAGTTTGAGTGAATGTGACTGATGTTGATACTGATTACTTGGTTGGGAAACTTGGTACAACATGTCAATTCTGCTAGTAACGTACATATTAGGGTGTGTGACGGTGGCGGTGATAGCATTTACTAGTGTTAGTGTTAGGACTCACTATTTATCATACAGACATGCCTGCACTGATAGCGAGAGCTTTACAAAACAAGTTGTTTCGGTCATGGTGTCGTGGCCCCTGCCGTTATTTATGTTTTCGTTGTTTCTATAGAACTCAGGTAGCCTTAGAGCATGTCCAACGCTGAAAAAATGGAATCCTTAAGCATTAATCCTTAGTGCTTTATGATTAAAAAAGTATTATATTAATTCCACAAGTTAAGGATTAATCTTTATTCAAGGAGTTTAAGAGGTCAATCCTTGCTGACGTGGCGGGTGTGATTGGGATGAGAAGAAAAAAAAAAATTCATTCGCGAGCAAAATAAAAAAAAAATTCTCTCGCCGATACGAAAGGCGAAAAAGCGACGGTCGTTGTTGAAGGTAAGTCGAAGATTTCTACTTGATTTTTTGTGGATCTGAGATCGAAATCGGCTACGAATCGACGAACGGAGGCGAGTGAGCTGAGATCGAGATGCAAGATACGTGACTTTGTAAAATCCCCAAATCGGAGTGAACAAAAAAAAAGAGGAAAAAGTTCAGTTCTTGGAGGAGAGCACAGCGAGAGAGGTGAGATTCCAAGATATATATACTTATAGATTTGTTCTTTTTTTTGTGTGTGTTTGATAGGATGATCTTCCATTGGTTGGAAACAAGGCCCCTGATTTTGAAGCTGAGGCTGTGTTTGATCAGGAGTTGTTCAAGGTATCTTCTCTAAATAACCTTTTTTTTTCATTTCATCTATGGCTTGTTTCCTACAACAATGGCAAAAATAAATAGTATTGATATGTGTTATAGAAACTAATTTTGTAATCGATGGTTTTCAGGTTAAGCTATCTGAGTACATTGGGAAGAAGTATGTGGTTCTCTTTTTCTACCCTTTGGACTTCACTTTCGTCTGTCCAACAGGTCAGGTTTGCTTTTATCGAAGTAGCCGAGGTTCACTCACTGCGTCCTAATCTATTCTTAATTTTGTCTTGTAGAGATTACTGCCTTCAGTGACCGGTATGCAGAGTTTGAGAAGTTGAACACTGAAGTGTTAGGTGTCTCTGTTGATAGTGCGGTAAGTATCATAACTTTTACTCCATTTCTCAATCTTCTTTTTATGACATCATTGCTTGACATCTGGTGGGCTTGGTGATCTGAACTATCCCCTTATCTCAGATGTAACTAAATCAATCTCAAAGTCCTTTGGAGTTCTCATCCATGATCAGGTAAAAAACTTGTTAGCTTCCTATAAACTTTTCAAAGTGTTTGTGATGATAACGAATAGTACTTTTTGTGGTAAGAACAGGGAATAGCACTAAGGGGACTTTTCATTATCGACAAAGGAGTGATTCAACATTCCACCATCAACAATCTTGGTATTGGAAGAAGCGTTGATGAGACCATGAGAACTCTCCAGGTATGCAAAAATAACACATTACTCAAAACCATACTCTTTCCTTCATCCGATTACATGATGTGTTCTCGGTGTTGCAGGCGTTACAGTACATCCAGGAGAACCCTGATGAGGTCTGCCCAGCAGGATGGAAACCAAGTGAGAAGTCAATGAAACCTGACCCCAAGCTCAGCAAAGAGTACTTCTCAGCTATTTAGAATAGCTTAAGGTACCAAAACCCTTTGTTGTATGTGAGCAAGAGTGTGTGTTCTTCTTTTCTCTTACGTTGAATAATCCTTTGTTTGAATCTCACTTTGTCTCCTAAATCCAAAAAACTTCATTTTCCCATTAATAAATTTTCGTGATTTTCATTTTCCTGCTACACATTATTAATATTCACATATCCCATACTTATACTTGACTGCCTTCTGCAATATGTATTAAATCAATATCACCATTGAACAAATTATTTCACAAATTTTATAATTTATTATTTTTTAGTTCTTAAGGACTCTTGATTAAGTAACACCATTGGACAAGTTATTTTGATTAAGATCCTTAACTATTTAAAAGAAAAAAAAAAAAACTAAAATGAGACTAAGGACTCCAATGGTGGTAACACCATTGGAGATGCTCTAACTAGCTACACATCTAATACCATATATCCATCAAATCATTTCTACAATGCTCTCTCTCAACAGTTAATAATATTATCCTGAAATTAGTAGCATCAACTAATCACATGAGATGATTAGGTTAAATCCACTTGTGATTTCGTTGGAATTCAATAATCCCAAAACACTTGAGCATAGCCTTTCCCTGAACCATACCAAACAAAAAGCACCAAATTGGCAGAAGACTTAACCTGTAGTAGGCGTCAAAAGGCTCAAATTTTCGACAATTGTCCATAAAACTTTGGATTATATAGGATTGGTTTCTCTTCTCTCTAATGAGATTACAAATGGTTTTAGGCGCAGTAGTAACGATCTCAAAGCCCGCTGAGAAACTTAAAGACCGACTTTTATATGTTCCATCTCAAGAATCAGACAAGCTTGTGGAGTCAACAGTTAGTACCACGGTGGTGGGAGCCTCTGGTGATCTTGCTAAGAAGAAAATATTCCCAGCTCTTTTCGCACTTTATTATGAAGGCTGTCTTCCTGAGGTTAGAGATCTCTTCATGTCTCTCTGATGATTCTTATTTTGAATTGAATGTGGTAAGCTGTTATTTGTTTTTTTTTTTTGGTTACAGCATTTTACAATATACGGTTATGCAAGGAGGAAGATGACAGACGGTGAACTTAGAGACATGGTTCAGCAAAACACTGACTTGTAGAGTTGATAAGAGGTGAGTAATAAGTGTAGACATGGGTGGGTGATTATGGTTTCTTTTCGGTTTGGTACATTGTCAGAAATGACTGAGATTTTAAAATGTGAGTGTTCATCTAATATTATTAGGGCAGACTGTGGTGAAAAGATGGAAGAGTTTCTCAAGACAAGAAGGTGAACGAAGGTTGTTTATTAGAAGCGATGAACTTGACGCTGCTTGGGCGCTTTTCACTCCATTTCTCAAAGAGATTGAGGAAAAGAAGATGATTCTAGAGTTCTATCCTTATCGAAGTCGTGGTCCAGTTGGTGCACATTACCTAGCGACAAAACACAATGTCCAATGGGGAGATCTTAATCTCGACCAGTGAAAGTGTGGAAGAGTTGATTAGTTAACCTTTTTTAGTTCCATTGATCCACGTCTGAAGACTCTCATTGATTTGTGTTGGGGACAATGAAAATATTCTTGAATAAGAAGGGTTCTGTTTTGGACTGTACCTTGAATAATAAGTAAAGGGTTTCTCTTCATACACTATTGTTTCCACCACTGGATATAGTTTAATTAGTATTTTTTTCTGTTTTACAAAGATAAAATTTTAAAAAATTTCACACGCTCTCTCCTTTAATATATGTTACCAATAACAAAATTTATAATATTAAAGTTTCAACAAATTAATATTCTGCATATTAATTAATATAAGTAAAATATGTAAAATAAACAAAACGTTTATTAAAAGCCTAATTTTTATCTTACAAAATAAATAAAAAGTATCAATAATTATAATATTTAATTTAACTGTCTCTAATATGTTACATATATCTGTTTTTCAATAAATTCTTGACTTTGTCTATTTTCATTTGATAATAGAAGTTAAAAAAAAAAAACGTTTTCATTGTGGAGGGAATATGTTTAGTTTAACAAGAGGGTGATTTGAAACTCGGTAACACGTTTGTCATTGTCAATCAATGTTGCCAAGTCAATTGATTCCATATCAACTATAAGTCTATATACCTAATCATGTAATAAGCATATTAATCGAACTCGTGGAAGGCAATTAAAATGATGGAGTCATCGTCGTTAATACCCGGCTTGACGGACGACGTAGCGGAGCTCTGCCTCTCGCGAACCCCGCGCTCTGACTTTCGGATCATCTCTCAGGTCTGCAAACGATGGAGGAGGTTCCTCAAGAGCGAGTATTTCTCAACCGTTCGAAAGTTGACCGGATCGGTTGAGGAGTTCATGTGTGTTTTGACGGAAAGCAAGTTCGAAAGAGACGGAAGGTTAGTAAAATACTTGTTAGGGGAAGTTTTCGACGCGTCAGGGAACAAACTGGGATGTATCCCTCCCGTCCCTGGTCCTTTCATGACCGGTTTAGGCGTCGCGGTTCTTCCTAGCGGTAAGATCGTGTTTATTGGTGGCTATGCTGAGGTTGAACGAAGTGGGATCAATACCACCGATATCTCTGTTTCTGCCCATGTTTACGAGTTCGATCCTGCGTCTAACAGGTCTTCTTCAATATTTGTTATATTTTTCCGACATATTCTCTAAAGAAAACAGAACTGATTTCTCTTTTTGTCTGAATTTCGACCAAAGTAAAAAGATGTTTTGTTCTGATTTTCTTTCTTGTCGGAATGATATTATATCTCAACAGTTGGAGAAAACTGGCGGACATGAGTATACCACGTTTGAACTTTGCATTTGCGGTAGTGGACGGCCTTTTGTATGTGATCAGAGGCTATTCGTCACATCGTGAACGCCATCACAGCGCAGAAGTATATAACCCGGAAACTAACCAGTGGAGCCTCATGGATTGTCCACGCCGCCCCGCCTGGGGTAACTTCGCGTTCTCCTTCAAGTCCAAACTTTACGTTGTAGGTGAGAATAAAAGTTAGACATGGACAAATATATATATAGATTCCGAGGAAGTCTGGTTGAAACTAGATTTTTTTCTTATATAATTTATGATGATTTTATTTTCAGGTAATGGATCGAGGTTCATCGACATATATGACCCAAAAACGGAGACATGGGAAGAGATAGACTCGGAGCAAGCACTGTCGATCTATTCCTACACTTTTGTGAGGAACAAAATGTATTTCTTGAGCATGAACATACCCAAAATGGGAGTATTTGATCCAGAGGATAATTCATGGAGTTGGGTGTTTGTGCCTGGGGGACCGGGTGGTTACTGGTTTAGACTAGGGAAATGGAACAATAAGGTTATGCTGTTTCCACGGATTGGGGGTGACTTTAAGGCTTTAACTGGTGACATTGATAAAGAGAACGAGTCCGAGTGGACAGTCACACATATTATACCATCTGGTTCTAACGCGACCAGCGTTCTCTTCAACTTCTAATTTCCCTCCTTTTGACTTTTTTTTTTTTTTTGTAAAATGTGTATAACATTTTGGGCAAATAGCTCTGTGCCTCAAGTACTGTTTCAATTATATTTTGTTGTGTGCACATTAAAAATCTAGAGATAATAATCAACCAACCGAAAATAACTTGCTATGAAACGATCCAATGGTGAAAACTCGCGTACATTACTACCTCTTTTAAATCTGTCGGGACGTTGTGCCATACTCATGAGTCCGGAATAATCTTTATCAGCTTTTGACAATCTATTCCAAAGCATTGATATATATTGACTGATGGAGCATACATATCACCGTGAATAAAAGTGCTTCAAATTTAACCTGTGTAATGGAGTCTATGGAGACAATATCTTCTGGCCTTTTGTGAGTAGAAGTTATATTCTCTCGGATGCATTCCTCCGAACACAATCATAATAGCGAAAATATGAACTATGTCAAAAACCATTAGTTAAAAAAATGATGTCAAAAACCATTAACAGTACAAATATTTTGAAAGTTTTACGGTTTGTATTGGTTGTGGATCTTCTTGATTTTGAAGTATACTTTCTCTGTTTTAATTTATTTGGTATTTATAAAAAAAATTGTTGCGAAATAAAAGATATTCTCACTATTGTAGATAAAATTTAATCTCATTTAAAATTTATAACCAATTATAATTTTTGCATTTTTATTTGTTAAAGAGTTTTATTTAATATCAATTATACGTAACCAAGATAAATTATATAAAAGATTTGTAGTTTCTTAGAGCACCAACAGCAAGTAATCTCTCACAAATAGTCCCTTGACCAATCTTTAATTCTTTACAGATATTTTAACAGTATTAAGTATTATGATTAAATTTTCATTTTTGCACATAGAATTGAGCCAATAGATGGACTAGTGTAAACATAGTGCTACACAACATTCAAAGTCTCCTTGCAGAGAAGTGATTGTGACGCTACACAACATTTTAAAGTCTCCTTGCAGAGAAGTGATTGTGACGTTTTCTACAATCTCTTTCCATTTTCTCCTAATTATTCTTGTTGTGGAGAGACTTCCTCTTGAGATCGTCACTATGATGATTTTAGCGATGTTAATGGAAATTAGATTTATATAGAATTAGAATGATATTAATATGGGTATATTCAATATAGAATTTTAGGTGATTTGTATAAAATGACAAATTTATTGTTATCCAAATTTAAATTTTAAAATTTTATTTAAAATTTACGGTTATTGAACTTGACATTTCATAAAGTATTATAAAATCCACTGTTATTATAAATATTTTGAGCTTTGGAATTTTAAAGTTTTAAAGTTATTTTAGAGTGTTTCGTTGGAATTCTTAATTAAAAATCTTTAAATTCAAATCTCATGATTTTAGATAATATTCTAGAATTGTTTAATAAAAATTACATTAACCTCTGCAATTTAATAAAATCATCTAATACCTATGGAATTTCATTAAGGAGGCAGTACACTTACTTTATAAATATAAATATGTTTTAGATAAAAAAGAAATAAAAAATTGACATTCTTTTTATTTTTATTTTTACTTTTTGTTTCTTTCAAATTTTCGTTTTGAAATTAAAAAAACTCCCTCTCGAAATTTGAACTATTTAAAAAAAATATTTTAAGTAATTATTTATATATTTATTAAAATTTTAAAAACACCCTCCTCTAAAACTCAGTCCTTCAAATCTAAACATAAGTCTAGATTAGTTAATTCAAAGTTTATGCTATTATTTCAATTTCAGTTTAATTTATATTATTATTGATATTATTAGTAATTATAATATTAGAATACTGAACTTTTTTTCAAAATTTATACTTATTTATTTATTTTAGTTTTTTAATATAGTTTAATGGTCTATTTGTGTTTAATAAATATTTTACTATTTAAATATTGTATATTTAATTATCTCCTTAAAAATTCTTACTGCAATTTATACATAAAATAAAATATCAGTCATAAATATTTATAAAATGATAACACTTATTTTTACTACTGTACAATATAAATTTATAGTTTTTACATAATTTATAGTTACAAATCTACTGCATATATTTTACTGTAATACAACATGTACCAGCTGGAGCCTTGATAACAGAGTTGAGTTGACAAAAGAAAAAAAAAATGTTATCAGTTCTGGAGGGAATCTATTTTGTTTTAACAAGAGAGTGATTTAAAAACTCGGAAAGACTTGGTCAATCAACGTTATCAAGTCACTGATTACTTAAACTAATGTTGCAAGGTAGGGATGAATCGAAATTAATAAAATGGCTGAGTCGTCGTTAATACCCGGCTTGACGGACGACGTGGCGGAGCTCTGCCTGTCGCGAATCCCGCGCTGTGACTTCCGGATCATATCTCAGGTCTGCCGGAGATGGAGGACGTACCTCGAGAGCGAGCATTTCACAGCCGTTCGAAAGTTGACAGGACCGGTGGAGGAGTTCCTGTGTGTTCTGATGGAAGACAGCGCGTGGGGGGTATCTTACTGGTTCGGGGAAGTTTTCGACGCCTCTGGAAACAATCTGGGACAGATCCCTCGCGTCCCTGGGACTTATAAGTGGAGTTTCGGCCTCGCGGTGCTCGATGGAGGTAAGATCGTGTTCATTGGTGGATATTATAATGATCCCATCTATGAGGTTGAAGGATTAGCTATGGAAAGGACCCGTATCTCTTCTTCGGCCGATGTTTACGAGTTCGATCCCGCGTTTAACAGGTCTTCTTTCCATTGATTCCTTTTTCGTACATCTTCTTTGAATTTTCGGACCAAATTTTTACATCTGATTTCTTGTCGGAATGATAATAACTACCAGCTGGAGAAAACTGGCGGCCATGAACATAGCACGTCACAACTTTGCATTTGCTGTGGTGGACAGCCTTTTGTATGTGCTCCGAGGCGAGGACTCAGATCGCAATCGCCTTCTCAGCGCGGAAGTATATAACCCGGAAACTAACCAGTGGAGGCTCATGGATTGTCCAAACCGCCCTGTCTGGGGTGACTTCGCATTCTCCTTCAAGTCCAAACTCTACGTTCTAGGTGGGGAATAAGAGCTAGACATGATTCCTTCTCATGGTAGTCTGGTTCAAACTAAAATTTTTATTATTACATAACTGATGATTTGTTTTTTTTCTTCCAGGTACATAACTGATCGCAGGTGATTGAGATATATGACCCCAAAACGGAGACATGGGAAGAGTTAGACTCGGATCAAACAGAGGATGTGTACACCTACACTGTTATTAGGAACAAAGTTTATTTCCTTGAAAGACACACGCGGGGAATGGGAGTGTTTGATCTAGAGGAGAATTCTTGGAGCTGGGTGTCTGCGCCTCCGGACCGGTACAGGGATGAGTATCGGTTCAGACTAGGGGAGTGGAACAATGAGGTTATTTTCATTGGACGGACCGGAGGACGTAACGCCTTAATCCGTAACCTTGATAATAAAGAGAATGCGCGAAAGTGGATAGCCACACCCATTAAACCATCTGGTGGTAGCTCGACCAACGTTCTCATCAAATTCTGATTTCCCCTCACCCTTTGGCTTCATTTGTGTGAAATGTTTTGGGGTTGTGAGCTTTGTGTGTGTGGCCCTCAACTTTGTCAATGATCCCTATGTTTGTGGTGTGTATGCCTACTAAAACTTGTGTGTTCTTATGTTTTCACGATTATTTGTATGCCTACAAAAACCCATTTATCATTTATATTTATCTCTTTTGTATTTTCCTGAAAAAGAAAAAAAGAACTATGTATACGCCCAAGGAGAAGTTTGAGAAGCTCTTGTTTGCATGTAAAAGATTTTGTACAACAAAGAAAAGTTTTTAAAAATCATCAGCGTGCGGTGAACCTCGCCCATCAAAATTCAACTGCTAGTGACTTTTGAAACCGAGAAGAGCAGGATCAAGCTGCCTCCCTTTCTTATTTCGTTTGGATCAGAAGATGACTCCGCTGCCACATTTCAATTTTGGCATTGCTGATGTCAGACCTGTGAATACGACCACGAATTATATGGGAGCTATTGCTGTAAGAAAGTGTTCGCTAGTTCAAACACACAAATTAGTATTGATGGCTTCCATGAAACTTTTCATTCTACAACCGAAAGGACCGAAGTTATATGCACAATTAGTGATGTTTTCAACCACGTCACTACTACTGGGAGTCTGGGATAAACTATACACGAATTACAAATCTAGAGACGTGATCTGGATAATCAAATGTAAATAGAATAACCAACGAATAATAACTTGCTATGAAAAGATTTAGAAATTTAGTTGTGAAAGCATGAATACTTTTTTTTTGAAAGCATGAATACTTCCTTGTAATGTTTGCTATTTCCTTTAACTTCATCTTTATCAGAATTTGCCAATCGAGTAGTATATTGTTATCAGTCTTTGCCAATCGAGTAGTATATTGGAGAGTGTAGAAGTTATATTTTCTCTGATGCATTTTTTTTTTAAATTCAAGATTTATCAACCATACAAATAGTTTACTGTTTGTTTGGTTGAAGATTTGTCGATTCCAAAAATACATTAAATCATTAATTTGTATTGAATGCTAAATATTATTGGATAATTCTCTTAAATAATTTTCTTAAGTTGTTGTCACAAAAATAGTTTTTTTTTAAATGATCAAAACAAACTTTTTTTTATTTTGAAATTTGTAATATTTATTTTTTTTAAAAAATTGAAACATAAACCTTAAATTTCACCGTTACCTTTAAACTCTAAATTTAGATTAGTTAATCCAATGATATAAATATACTTATTTGTCATCTAATAAAAAAATATTTCAGTTATTTTTCTCTTTAAAGTTATTTTTTAAAAAAAATAAACTAAAAATGATTATCCGAAGAAAATTTTCAATATTATTAATATTTTAAAAAATAAATTAGCTAAAGTGAGTAAGTTGGTGATATATTGACGGAAAGGTTAAAAATGAACAAAAATCCATTGAACATATTTTTTTTTAAACAAACCCTAAAGCTGATGACTCACGGAAAGCCAAGGGTGGGAATATCGTCGAACACTTGGGCTGCATTTTAAAGTTTTCCCAAAACCTTTAGCCTAAAACCTTTACCTTCTCTCCCTCCCTCCCTCTTCACTCAGATCTAACCTCTCTCGTATTCCCCAATGTTCGGCACTCCGTCTTCCTCGCCGGCCTTCGGCACTCCCTCCTCCACACCGATCTTCGGTTCCTCCTCCGCCCCCGCCTTCGGCACTCCTTCCTCTACCCCCGCCTTCGGCACTCCGTCATCAACCCCCGCCTTCGGTACAGTTTCATCAACGCCGGCGTTCGGAACGCCGTCGATATCTTCCTTCGCCTCAGGCGGATTCGGCACCTCACTCTTCTCCACTCCTTTCTCATCGCAACAGCCACAGCAACAACAACAACAGCAACAACAACAAACGTCGCCGTTTCAGCAACCGACGTCTTCTGGATTCGGTTTTCAGTCACCGTTCAACGCTCCGCAGCAGCAGCAGCAGCAGACGCCTTTCCCTAATACGCAATTGACTACTCAGATGGCTCCCGTTGCTCCGATTCCTTTCTCCCTCGCCGATCGTGATATCCAGGTTTTTGATTTATCTTTTGGTTTCTTGGAATGTTAGATCTAGGAATCGCTAAACCCTAAGCATCTTGTTTTTTTTTGATTTTTAGGCAATCGTTGAAGCGTATAAGGAAGATCCGACGAATCCGAAGTATGCGTTTAAGGTTAGCTATTTTGGTGGATAAAAAAAATTATGAGTTGTATTAGTTTGTGTGGAGATGTAACTAACTGTTTGTTTCTGTTTTGCGTTCAGCATCTTTTGTTCAGTGTGACGGAACAGCAGTATCGTGTGAAGCCTGCTGCTGTATCTGATGTGAGTATCTTCTTGAATTTATTATCGTGGAGATTTTTGTAGCTTTCTTTTGTGTATAATGAGTCTTTTGTTATTGTTGATTCCTCTTGGTGGGGGGTAGATAATGTGGGCAGAGGCTATGAGCAAACTTGAAGGCATGGATTCATCAGAGAGAGAGCGTCTGTGGCCTCAGCTTGTGCAAGGTTTTAAAGATCTTTCTCAGCGACTTAAGGTAGATTTTTCATCAACTGCCAAGTTTCTTAACTTTTTTTTTGTTTAGTGTTTTGGCCATGTGTGAGCAAGTGGGTGAAAGGGGTGCTTAAGCAATTTATTGAAGATTGACAAAAAACATTCATTCAGCAGCTTTGATAAATGAATCTTGACAGTCTTTGTGTTGGGTACCTGCAGCTTCAAGATGAAGTTCTCGTATCAGATAGGGAAAGAATAAAAACGACTCAGAGCAACGTGAAAATGGTGACTTGTCGTTTCTCCACTGTCTCTCGTAATTTCACGTGACACTCATCTTAACAAGAAATTGTTTGATTTTGTTTTTACAGCTTCAGAGACATTTACAAGCACATACCTTTCCGTCTATTGAAAGGTTGAGACAGAAGGAGCAGAATCTTCAAAGACGCATGTTGAGGGTGAGAGAGAGAAATCGTCACATTGAAAGATCTTACCTCGTTTATTATGTCAGTCCATATTACAGTCAAAGTTGTATTTACTCTTGTGTTCTGGATTGTGTGCTTGAAGGTGATGAGGATAGTAGAGGGATTAGAGGGGAAGGGTTTCCGGTTACCCTTGACAAAAGGAGAGGCCGAGCTGTCTGAGAAGTTAACTGGAATAACAAGACAGGTCTGTATCATTTTATTAGTCTTATACTTCTGAGGTTAGCAAAGTTTGATGCTGAAAAAGTACACGGATATATTCTCAGGTGAAAGGTCCTGGAGCAGAGCTATCTAGGAGGGTGCAAAGTCTGCAGACAATATGTCGCGCTCAATCAAATTCCTTTTCTGCTGGTAGTTCCATTTATCTCCCGGGTTCAACCAAAATAGACGAGCAGAGCCTAATTGATATGCAGGAGGTATGAGATGCGACATCTTTAGTCTTTTCTTTGTCTATTAAACCAATTCATTATAAAACTATGAACTGTTTGGTGACTTTGTAAAACAGGTATTGCAACAAGAGACAGAAGCAATAGGAAGGCTTGGAAACGTATTGAAGCGAGACATAAGGGATATGGAAATCATGGTCGCTGAAGATACAGAAATGACCGAGGACACATAGATGTCCAGTTTCTAATGTCTCGTTTCCTTTACTATCGGATGCAGCACAAGGCTAGCTTTGGGCTTTAACATGTACTTTAGTATCTGAGCTATAAAATCTCAATGTATTGTGGTTTCTTTGACATTAAAACCTATTGGAAGATTTGATGAAATTAAAAGTTACAAATGTTGGTAATCTGTTACTAAAACAGAGGATACTCTTCGAGTAAGTGCAGACCAGCCAGTTCCTTTTTGTTTGAACGTAGTTGTTGCCAGATATATCCAGCCTGGTCATAGTTTCTAACCACGTTCCTGCATCAACCACAGAAGGTAGGTAAGGCTACATATACTGAATAAGACATATTCAGCTTTTGAACGTGCCTTTTAACAAGACATGCATACCTTATCAGGTTCGTGAAGAAGCCTTTATGCTCCCGATTTAGTATATTCGGTACGTTTCTATCCAAATTATTTTCCACCTTGTCAGTTTTGTTTTGGTGTTGTTGCGGATTTAATGTCACACGTGTGTTATTATTATTTTTATCTTCCAATTTTGTTTTGTTTTGTCGTTATTGTGGCAAAAAATTCGTGTAAGGTTCGTGTTTCAATAGTGGTCGTAGAAATTGCTGGTTTTGTGGAGCTGACACTTCCTTTCTTTCTCATCAACCAACCCCACAATTTCCGCCGTGGCTCTACCGTTATGCTCCTAACATTTACTTCCCTTTTTGTTTCTGTTTTTTTTTTTTTTATTCTGGGTGAAAAACTCGTTCTTTAGAGCATTCTTGGTAATTAAGAATTCCTCTCCTTTGCTTCTCTTAATTCCACAGAATTTGGAACAAAAGGCCAAAAACTTCTTCCATTGGATATCAGGATTCTTGCCTCTTTCGTTACTGAATCCTCCTTATGTTTTTTTTTTGTTGGGAAAAAAAGATTGTTTCTCAGGTTTGTATAAAGCTGTGGCTTAGGTGATTTTTGGAACATGGATTTTAGCGAGCTTGAGGAGAATTTGTTCGCTGCTAGCGATGCCAAGGTATATTCTCTTTATTTATAATGTTTCAATCATCACACTCTTTCACAAAAATCCCTGTCGGTGGCTGTTGGAATTATATAGAACAGAAAAAATGGGGATTTTCTTCGTATGTTATGTATTTTCTCTTACGTTATAGCAATGTGATTCGTGCCTAGTAGCTGTCTTCAGCCTCTGATCAATGGTAGCCAAAGGCAACACATTGCTGTAACCTAACGTAAAAAATTCATCTCTATGTATTCTTCTCTATCTTTTTCCAATAGCGTTTGTTAAATTGTAACTAAATGTTGGGTGAGGAGCAATTGTAATCGTTTCTTCTTGTTCTTTGATGGTTTTGTTCTCTATGCTAAACCAAAAGTTGTGTGATAATTAATGGCTCCATTGCTGAAAATGCAGTTACATAGAGATATGTGCAAGGAACTATCTGCTGTTTATTGCAAGGTATTGTCCATCTTCCCTTCCTTGGAAGAAGCACGACCTCGGAGTAAGTCAGGGATTCAAACCTTGTGCTCCTTACATATTGCACTCGAGAAGGCAAAGAACATTCTTCAACACTGTTCTGAGTGTAGCAAACTCTACTTGGTCAGTTTCTCTCTTTTATCTCTCTTCCTATGGATACATATGCTCTCTTGTGTTTTGGTCTCTTCAATTCCTCCATTTCTTCTGAACAGGCTATAACTGGGGATGCTGTTCTGCTAAAATTTGAGAAAACAAAGTCTGCTCTTATCGATAGTCTTAGACGCGTTGAAGACATTGTTCCTAGCTCAATTGGCTCTCAGGTGATGTCTATTCAGTGAATAGCACAATCTTTTCCTTTTGCAAATTAAGGTTTATGTTTCCCTTGCAAGATACTTGGTTGTCTTTCTAGTTTGATATTTATGCTTTCTTCAAGGTTTTCTGATTGATAAAATGGTCTCAACTAGTCTCTCTTGCTAATCATAACTATGGTATTGTAATTTGTTTCAGATTTTAGACATTGTTGGTGAACTAGAGCACACCAAGTTCATGCTTGATCCATCAGAGAAAGAAGTTGGTGACCGTATAATTGCACTACTCCAACAAGGGAAGAAATTTGACAACGCCACCGACAACGCCGAGCTTGAAATCTTCCACCAAGCAGCTACTAGACTCAGCATAACTTCTTCTAGATCAGCTCTGGCGGAGCGGCGTGCTTTAAAGAAGCTCATTGACAAGGCACGTGCGGAAGAAGACAAGCGGAAAGAGTCAATTGTGGCTTACCTCTTGCATCTCATGAGAAAATACTCCAAGCTTTTTAGAAATGAAGTTGTGGATGAGAATGACTCTCAGAGTTCACCACCATGTTCTCCCACTGGTCAAGGTTCTAGCGAGGACCACCGTGCTCATGCGTTTGGGCGTCAACTTTCTAAGTTTGGTTCTATTAACTTTAAGAAACCAGGAGGACAGATGCCAACTCCACCAGAAGAACTCAGGTGTCCCATATCTTTGCAGCTTATGTGTGATCCTGTCATTATTGCTTCTGGACAGACTTATGAACGTGTCTGTATCGAGAAATGGTTAAGTGATGGACATAACTCTTGCCCCAAGACTCAGCAGCAGCTCCCACATCTTTCTTTGACTCCTAATTACTGTGTGAAAGGTCTGATTGCGAGCTGGTGTGAGCAGAATGGAATCACAGTTCCTACTGAACCACCACAATCTCTTGACCTCAACTATTGGAGACTAGCCCTGTCTGACTCTGAAGCCAAGAATTCAAAGTCAGTTGATAGTATAGGATCTTGCACACAGAAAGGCGCAGATCTCGAACCTTTGGAGGAGAGTAGTACTATTGTTCCGGAACAACAACGCAAAGAAGAAGTCAATGCGCCTGATGTTGATGATGAGGAGACTTCTGCTATCAATGTTCTTGAAAAGTACGAGGATATATTGGCTATCTTGGAGAAAGAGGAGGACTTGGGTAAAAAGTGCAAAGTAGTAGAAAACGTCAGGCTATTGCTAAAGGATGATGAAGAGGCCAGGATCCTCATGGGAGCCAATGGGTTTGTTGAAGCTTTCTTGCGGTTTTTAGAATCAGCTGTTGATGAAAACAATGCAGCTGCTCAGGAAACCGGAGCTATGGCTTTGTTTAATTTAGCAGTCAACAATAACAGGTTAGTTAGCAATGTCACTGTCTGATCTTCTATCTAATATCACTGACATTGATTGATTGTTCCTCTGTGTAAACTAAGTACTCTTTAACTAATATCTTGTGTTTTGTTTGTTCCAATGGACTGTAGAAACAAAGAGTTGATGCTGAGTTCAGGAGTTATCCCGCTGCTGGAGAAAATGATCACCTGTTCTCACTCCCAAGGGCCAGCAACTGCCTTATATCTAAACCTCTCCTGCCTAGAGAAAGCTAAGCCCTTGATTGGCTCAAGTCAAGCAGTTCCCTTTTTCGTGAAGCTTCTTCTTCAGGGAGAAGAAACAGAAACCCAATGCAAGCTGGACGCACTTCACGCCCTCTACAACCTCTCAACCCACTCTCCCAATATCCCCACTCTCCTTTCATGTAACATAATCAAAACCCTCCAATTCCTTGCATCAACAGGTGACCACTTGTGGATAGAGAAGTCATTAGCCGTATTACTAAACTTAGCCTCTAGCCAGGAAGGGAAAGAAGAGATGATATCATCACAAGGCATGATCAGCACTCTTGCAACGGTGCTGGACACAGGTGACACGGTGGAACAAGAGCAAGCCGTTGCTTGCCTTGTGATCTTGTGCACGGGAAGCGAGACGTGTATCCAGATGGTTTTACAAGAAGGAGTGATTCCGTCTCTAGTTTCCATCTCAGTGAACGGAAGTACCCGAGGAAGAGACAAGTCTCAGAAGCTTCTGATGCTGTTCAGGGAACAGAGGCAACGAGAACAGGCATTGCCAAATAAAGAGGAAGCTCCCAGGAAAAGCGTGTCTGCACCATTACCAATGTCTGTACCTGCTCAAGCTTCAGCTCAAGGGTCAGAAGTTAAACCTTTGTCTAAATCAACGTCTGCAAGGAAGACGATGACAAGAGCATTCAGCTTCTTCTGGAAGAAAAGCTACTCGATCCACCATTGAGAAGAAAAGATAGATTTAACATATTCCTATGTAAAGCTGCTTTTCTTTTTTTTTCCTTTAATCCTTTACTTCTTACACAAGTCATCTGCATAGGGGAGACAAATATGTACATGCCATTTTTGCTCACTTTTCCTCTCTTACCAGAGGTAATCGTGTAGATAGCTCACTGATGTATCAGTTTTTTTTAATTCTATATACAAAAATCTTATTGTTAGTTTGTCCAGGCCAACACATTGATTAGTGTGTGAAGTCTAGTATTCCTTTGGACCATACTCTGCAAAAGAAGATGTCTTTGGTATCATACTTAGTAACCCATGAACAATGCCAAGTACTCCACAAAATTCTTGTGTATTCTATTTATTATTTCCAAATAAGATCACGTTTTTTTAATAGCTGTTTCAAGTTTTCTTTACATTTCAAATAGAGTATTCATGAATACGATTATATATAGTGAAATCAAACTAAGGCTTTGATTGTAAATCTGCTTCTGTTCTGTCCATTTTTCCAGTGGTTTCAATTAGGCAATGAAGCAGGCGAGTTGTGTGAATGATTGTTCGTTCACGTTAGCTAGTCGCTACCCTGGTGAACAAGTATCCAGTGACTGCTGTGATACTTCCAAGCATTCCACCAGCAACAACCTGATCTCTCACCAAATGGAAAACAGAATCTGATGAGAACAAGTACTCAGATTCTACCAAAAGCACGGTAACAGATCAACGAGTAGTTCATATATAAATCAAAAGTTAAAACAAACTCGACTTTGTTCTACAATCCAACTTCCATCAACTCACAATAGCCCCCTTGAGAGGACCCAATTACACATCCCCGTCCCTGATCTTTCAGTTCCCTATTAATACTACTCTGATTTCCTTTTGAACTCTTAACTTGCAAACTTAATGATAGCTAGGGTGACACGGTTGTTATGTTAACAGCTATAAGAGAACTACGTTTCCAAGTCGTGGGCCTATGAGTAAATAAGGGATTAGATCATACTGTAATCTATGGGAAAGTTCAGTAAAGGTGAGATTTGTGATATCACCAGGATTGATAATAGTTCAAAGCAACTGTAATAACATACCTGGGGAGGGGTATGACCAAGAAGTTCACGCAATGGTCTGCTTTCAGCCAATGGATGTTCTGCAGGAAGTTCGTAGACAATCTGATTAAGAACCTGTAAAAATGAATCACAATCAGATATCAGGAAACCATATAGCTCAACTGCATCAATGACAAAATCAATAATCTGAAACAAAGAAGCAGTAATCAAACCTCAGCTTGGCGACCAGCGTGTAACCTTACACCAGTAGCATCATACATCACCTGCCACCCAAAAAATCAATCACATATAGATAAATAAACAACACAGAGTAGCTAAGAAAGTGGTTTGGAAAACTTACAACAGAAGCTAAGATAAGAGCAATAGCGAAATGAGAACCACCAAAGCCCTCTTGTAAACCAATAGCAACAGCGAGAGCAGTAACCGTAGCTGAATGAGACGAAGGCATTCCTCCTGACCCAATCAGCTGCTTCAGATCCCATCTCCTCTCCCTATACCTGCATTACGCATAATCAAATCCAAAACATGTTAAAAACAAAAACAAAAAAGATTTATCCTTTAACACTAATAGAATCACATAAATGAAGAAAGTCAACGCCTTTCTCGTTCTTAGGACAGATCTGTTATATAAAGACGACTCCTTTTTTTTAGCTATGAATTTTGTAGAGCAAAACGAACCAGGAGGTGAAGAGTTTGATGAATTGAGCGATGGTGAAAGCAGTGAGGGAGGAGATGAGAGGGTAATTCGTGAAAATCGAGAAATATTGATGAGTCGTAGACGTCGTCGTTGTCGTTGTAGCTGAAGTTTCTTCCATGGCGCTTGATGAGATGAAATGAATCAATCAAATCGCGAGATAGGCTTTAGTTGGAGAAGGAAGAAGAAGAAGAATCAATAAGGTATATACCGATCCCCCCCTTTGTGTATCTCTTCGAAACTAATATCCAATGGCGTCTGCGTAGACGGTTCAATCTTCTTCGTCTTCCTTTGACCAAATTTTTATTTTTTTTCGAAAAGAATCCAAACCATTTTTAATCAAAGAAAAAGATTTATTCTATTACGAAAAGGAAACTAATTGTATTAATCAAAGTTTTCTATATGCTCAAAGTATCTTGAAATGAATTTGCATTGATAAATTCATTACATGCTAAGTTATACTGTATAGTGTAACCCAATAGTAATTCATATAAAGAACCAAAATTGTAAGAGAAAACGGATGATAAATAACAGATTGGTTTAATGTTAGTTACGAAACCATTGAAATCGGTTTGGATCGGTTTAATCTAATCTGCCTTCCACCCAACAGCTCCCAACTACTACTACACTGCATGCACAATACAAACATTGTTCGTATTGACAAGACTCTCCACAGAGTAGACGATCTTCACTCTCACCTCCGTTAAACAACCCATTCTCCGTTCCATGGCCACCACCACCATCGCAGGAACGGAACTCACCTCCTTGAAAACCACCGTTGGGAAGCTCAGCTACCGTGAGATATATGTCATGTTCGGCAATGGGCTCATTCGGTTCAGTCTCCGATGCCTCATTTGGGAGTGCTCCGATGTGGATCGCGACACCCATTTGCAACCTCCTCCTCCGCTGGTATTTAACTCTTCTCTCTTTCTTCCCTTCAACATTTTGATATATACATTCTCATTAGAAGATTCTATTATTTATCTCTACTAAGTTGTGAAAGCTCAAGATCAAGCTCAAGCGACTGCTGGTGAGCAATCAACAGCTGTTCTGAAAGTGGAGTCTCTAGTTGTGGTTGTCACTGGTGTCTCTAGAGGCATTGGTAAAGCTATTGCTCTTTCCCTCCGTAAAGCTGGCTGTAAGGTTTACCACTTTACACCCCCATCTGCTCTTGCATATTTTGGATTTTGAAGTCTACTGGTTGCTATACATTTTTGTCTCCAAATATTCGTTTTGCACCATTCTTTGTCTTTGCTTGCAGTTTCTTTCCCTAGTTGGAACCCATAAGTCTTGTTTAGTTTGGCTTGATTTCATAGTATTTTTGTTCTACAGAAAGTACGGTCTAATGCTGAGACATTGTTGTTTGTGCTTTGCAGGTCTTGGTGAATTATGCTAGGTCAGCTAAGGAGGCTGAAGAAGTTTCTAAACAGGTAGGTGAGTCATTCTCGGAATTTCGACTGCTATGGTTTCGCACCTCTTTCCTTTCACTTTAGACCAATAGATCATAGATAATTTAAGTATGTTTTTCTTGGAACAAGGAAAAAAGGTGTGGCATCTTTTTAGCTTTGACAATGAATCCTTTGTACATGTGTTTTCTATCGTCTTACACAGTTAAAACCAACTAGGAAACCAAAACTAAGCAACCAAGAAACTTATAGACATTCAATCAAACCAATAATATCTAAAAAATTAGTAGAACATAATCTTTTGTTCGCCCGATCTTATCTTTGTTTTAAACATTTTTCATCCAACAAAATCTTGAAGATAGAATATAGATGGGTTAAGACGTTCAGAAGAAGATAAATAAAGAATATCGAAACAAAAGCAGTTTGGAGAAGGCCATACTTGGCTTCAAATGGGTCAAGTAACTTTGCAAGAGATCTAACTAGTAAGTAACTTAGCAAGAAATATAACTATCAAATCATTAGGGTAGTTGTTTTACTTACAAAAAAAGTGTTGATTCATTTGTTTCATGTGATTAATACATTAAAAGTTGATTCTCTCTTTTACCCTTCTTCTGATTATAATCATCCTCATGCTGGTTGTGGGTGATTATGTTGACGAGTCATCGCATTGGTACTTTATCAAACATATGGACAATTCATAATGCTCTTTTTTTTTTCTGCCCAAGAATTGAATCAATAACAACTAGAAACTCCAAAATATATAAAGTGAGGTACAATGGTAAAAAAATTGTTTTGCTACTTGTTATCTATGTGTTTTATGTATTCAAACAAACAACTTACAAATATATAGCAACATTTGAAAACCTTAGAACATAATTAAAAATTGATTGAACATGGTTTTAGATATTTCAATCAGATCCCAAGATCATCATAATTATAGTCTGGGGTTGGTGATTGATCGTATGAAAATCTTTACCTTAACACATTTGACTCTATCTTTATCTCAGTTTATTGCTTTCGTTTATATTTTTTATATAATGAATAAATATATTTGAATGTTTTTTTATCAACAGATTCCTATTTCCAGGTTAATGACACCATTATGTAGAAGCTTGATTAGTTCAATTCTATTTTTGAATTAAAAATTAGGGTACGAATTATTCCAAATTCTCATTTTTTAATTTTGTATATTTGATTTCCATTACTTTTAAATTAATTTGATCACTAATATACGACCATTGGAATAATAGCAACCAAACAAGGATAATAGTAGTATTCTGTGTTTCTATTTAAACAATATCATATATATTAATAATCTTTATACCAATAGTAAACGTTTTTCATGTTAAGCTGTTCACCTTTAATATATATGAATTCAGATTTTAATAACGTTTACTTGAAATTGGAAGACTGCCAAAGAAAGAGAAGAAGATTCCTGCTGGAGGGAGTAGTTTGTTTTGTTAATCTCTTTTCAACGTGAAAATAATGATTCAAATTAGGTTCAAATCAAAACTATCAATACTATTAAATTAAAAACATGTCCAATTGATATTAACTTGTGTCCAATTATTATTTTAAGAAAACATACATTTTAAATAGAATTGCAACTAAATTTAATTTCTGAATCTAATCACCACGTATTCTCTCATAATAATCGGAAACAACAAACCTAATAATTATATCATTATATCTTAATTAATCAAGCACTAAAAAGTAATTAAATAAAGATGTGAATATGTAGGGGATAACTAAAAATATGTAACTTCAGTTTTCTCGATTTGTTTCTTGACACAAATAAAAAAAAACTGAAGTTACATATTTTAAGTTATCCCCTATATTTAATTGTTTTTTGATGTTTGATTAATTAAGATATAATGATGCAGTTATCAGGTTTGTTTTTCCCGATTATTATGGGAGTATACATGGTGATTAGATTCAGAGATTAAATTTAGTTGCAGCTATATTAAGAAGACATGTTTTGTTGAAATAACACTTGGACACAACTTAATACCAACTGGATATGTTTCTTCTAACTCAATAGTATTGATATAATTTTATTTATTTAATTACTATTTGGTTAACTGAAAAATGTATTTATACATTTTTATTTTAAAAATTAAACAGAAAATCAAATAAGATCAATAAATTATGTATTAAAATTCTAAAGTGACATATATTTTAAAACAAAAATTTTACTCGAAAATGATAAATGATTAAAATACAGATCTAAATCATCTCAAATTCTTAAAAAATACTCTTTCTGTTCCTTAAAGATACATATTCTAGAAAAAAATTTGTTTTTAAAATATCCATTTTTTACATTTTCAATGCATATTTTATTAACTAATTGTAAACTTCAAAAAACTTAATTGCACTAATTGATTTTTCTTGGTTTAAAATTATAGAAAGAAGATAAATACAAAAAACTATGTAAGTTTATTGTGTTTTATTAAAAAGTGTGAAAAAACTATAGAATATAGATCTTTTAGGAACAAATGAAATAGTTCCATTTAAAATAAAATATATATGCCGGTATATTTTTGGAGTCTTAAAAAATTAGTGCTACTTAAAAAAAAGTGATATAAATAATCTTAAAATAAATCTTAAAAAAAAAAAAATCTTAAAATAAATTTCATAAAAAAATTATTAAATCATAATTTGTCATCGTAACAACAATAAAATTAGACTCACACTGTTTAAATACGGATCGAAATATACCTGCCTTTGCAAGGCGGTCAAAATCTAGTAGTCTTATAAAACCGAAAACGTAGGACTTAATTACGTATCTCACTCAGTTCGCAGCACGATCAACCGTCACGTTCAAAGGATTACATCTGAATTGATTATTCAAAGGATGTAATTAATAAGGGATTATCCACTATACTCAATAGAAAACGTACAAACTTCAGAACTGTTAAAAGTTACATTAATATTTTACTTAATGTTCTTAACCGCCTGGTACTTCATAGTAAAAGAGTTTTGGTCAATCATAATGGTATTACTAATCAAAATCCAAAGATCTGTATCCCAATGTGTAATACTCATAATTTGGAATGGAAAATCACGAACAGGAAACAACAAGCAAATACAGATCATTCAAAAACAAGTTGATACATTGATTCCATAATTAACATAAGTTAATTAGAAATAAATAATGTTGGTTATGAGTTATGACAGGTCACAGATATTCAAAGATTTGAATACTTTAATTATTAAGAAGTTGATTAAAAACAACAATTTGGTAACGAAGACCTGCCTAACAGAACAAAACAAAACATAAACATGTTTTTATAGATAAGGACCTTATCGCATCATCTATTCATCATCTGTAACAGAAAAAAATAAGAAACTTTTTTTGGGAAGAAGAAAAAAAAGAAAGAGATCAGATTTTTATTTTTGTTCAGTTTGCTTTGGCTTTCACGAAGGCTGTCTCTTTCTCTGTCCGCAAAATATCAAAAGTCGCTTTAATCTTTTTATCTTTTCTAGAAAAAAATTATAAAGCAAAACAGAAGAGATAATAACACAGACGAGGAGAAAAGCAGACGTATCTGTGTTTTGTTGTTTTGTTCATCTCTGGTTCCAAGACTCAAACTTTGGATTCTCTTCTCTGTTTTGTTCTTCTTATTGTCTTTCCCTTTTGTAATAGTAGTTTCTTAAAATCGTGAAAAGAGAGAAAGGGTTAAAGAGATTAGGAGAGGAGAGATGTATTATCAGTTGACCAACTCTTCTTACATGGACTCTCTCAAGATTCTTGAGGCTGATATTGAGCACGCTAATGGACTGTAAGTTCATCTCATTCTATCTGAGTTTACTTTTTTAATTTTAGTTTCTGATTTTCTGGGTTTAGGGTTTTGATTGATCAAATTAGCAGTTGACTAACTAAGGAATTGAATCAGCCTTAGGCTTCTGTTTGATGCATATTCTTTTTTAAAAAATTGGATTATTGCAGAATTAGTCCAAAGTTTTAAACTTTGTTGTATCTCTGTGATGTTGTCTTTTGAAGCATATGTTGTTTGAAGTAAATGGGTTTAGTTGATTAGAAGGATATTAGTAACTGATTAGAGTTAAAAAAAAATTGATTGCAGGGCTGCTGAGATTCCAATGGGAAAGAGCAGTGTGAGACTTCAGATGAAACTGGTTTGCAGCAATTTGGCTCCTTTCTTCATTTTTCTCCTACAATGGATGGATTTCTCATGTCTCCTTCCAAGATACTTTGATTTCTTCCACATACTCATCTACAAGGTTCTTACTTTGTTACCATATGTTAGTTTCTTACACGGCTTGTGCGTTTGTCTGAGCTATGAAGCTGATTGTTTCTTCTTTGCGTTGTTCAGGTACGTGCTGATGGGCGGTGGAATCGATCCAGGTACGGAAGGAAAGCTACTATCAGAGAGTTTTACGGTTAGCCTTCAGCTCTTTTTAATACCATTGTGTGTGTGTGTGTGTGTGTGTGTGTGTGTGTGTGTGTGACTGTGTGTTTACTGTTGCCTTAAGTCTTACAGAACAGAGGATATGGTTATGTGCAGGTGTTATATTACCATCACTAGAGCGTCTTCATATCAACTTCTCTGACTTACCAAGCGACAACTTCTGGTATCCGAATCCAAAAGCCATCACCAAGAAGACCTACGAATTTGAAGGCAACAGATTCATTACTAACAACGTTGAATCTGAGAGAGAAGAGGAATGCGGAATCTGCTTAGAGCCTTGCACCAAAATGGTGTTACCAAACTGTTGTCACGCAATGTGCATCAAATGTTACAGGAACTGGAACACAAAGTCTGAGTCATGCCCGTTTTGTAGAGGGAACATCAAGAGAGTTAACTCAGAGGATCTTTGGGTGCTGACTTGCGATGAAGATGTGGTGGATCCTGAGACTGTTACAAAAGAGGATCTTCTTAGGTTTTATCTACATATTAATAGTCTTCCTAAAGATTATCCTGAAGCTGTCTTCTTAGGGTACAACGAGTACTTGATATGATGATTTTAAGGTGGGAAGACACATCACGGGAGAGAGAGATCACAGACCTTTAACTAAGTGTATATAAGAATCTGGTGATCCAAGATTTTCCCTTCATTTTAGGTTATGATTAATAAGAAGATTGTGTACCCTTTGTTATGTGATATTAAAGAGAAAATGTTTGTTTCGGTTTACTTAGTCTTTAATTCTGGTCTTATTTCTTGTTCATAGCACAAACATATGTCTCAAGATGAGATTAAGAAACTTGGCCATCCTTTTTACTGGTTAAGGCAATATTTGGAGCTATCAGCTAGTGCTACTGATTCTGGAAAGGTTACTGAGTGAACAAAAACGAATCAAAGACACAAAAAAATCACTTGAATAAAAATAAGATTTGAGGCAAATATTCGTTTCAAAGCTATTATCAAGCTAGAAGACTAGTGTCTTCGTTGTAAATTAATGGTGCTTTAGCTTCTATTTTTTTTTGTTCTTCTTCTGATGTCAAGTTCTAAGAGAGACTTCTTTAAAGGATTTATCTGGTATTAATCGCGTACTTGGTCTTTTTTTTCTGTGATGAGTATGATGACCCAAACATAATATAGGTTGATGTTATGAGGATGTAAAGGACCAATTGAAAAGGTCCCCCACTGCAATGTGTAATGTTTCAAACATTCAACTAAAGAGGCTCAAGATGAAACAGAAGAAGACAAATGTAGGGCAAGTTCCTGTGTTCAAAAATAACGGCACGTTTACAAAAATCTGAAACTTTGACTGCAATTCTACCAGGAATGTGACTTGTGGATCAACAGTTGTAGATGTCTTAGCAACACATTCTAACGCAAAAGGTCACATGTAATGCAGTAGGCAAGTCATAAGAAAATGGAAATCCAGCACATTTGAATTTAAAGATATGGTTAAGTATTAAATGTGGTATATAAATAATGTACGTATTTTTTTAAAAATATGGTAAGTATTAAATGTAGAAGATTTTATTACATGAGAAACTTTATGATCACATTCTAATTTTGTCTTAACATTAAAAATTAATACTTTTGACTAAATATGTGATCCTTTAATTAGATACTACATTAAATAGTTTAGTCACGTGAACAGAAGCTTAAAGCGGCAATGAACGTTTCTGATTGGTTAAAACACATCACACTAACACACTTCAATCTCACGACATAAACAAAAACGCACCGTGTCGGTCTTGCTCTGCAACGCCTTCTCTTACCTCTCTCTCTCCTTCCCTCGCTGTTTTATTATTTACATCTCCGACTCTATAACCAACGAGCAAAACCGTTCCTCTCAGTTCGTAACATTCATTTCTCGACTCTGTTCGCAGTTTTGTCTATAGGCTCTCTCGTGTTTCGGTCACGAACATTGCTAAAATCTATTCTCAGGTTTCCGAATTAGATCTGTTTGGATAAAAAAAAGCGTTGGAATCGTGATAATGCACGAGAATGATGATCTTCCAGTAGCTGATGAAAATGAGAATGGTAATATTCCTCAGGATGAATCTGTAGCTGATGAGATTGAGAATGATGATGAGACAAATGAGCAAGAGCTTGATCCTGACCAGGTGAGGATTTGTAGACGTTACGCTTTTGTGTTTCTTTGTCCGAATCGTTTTTATTCATTTAAGATGCTAAAATTTGGATTAAAAATGATTTTACAGGGAACAGCTTTTGTTGATAGTAAGGAAGATATGTTTGTTGATGCTCCCGAAGAGTTGAATTTTGATACACCTAGAAAGGTAGCTCTCACCACAGATGATGATAACAATGTAAATTTTATTTCTTAGTTATTTATTGAAAGTATCTTTATCTTAATGTCTTGTTGTTCATTAATGTTTGTCTACTACCATACATATAGAATGAGAAGGAGGAGGATAGGGAGAAGGAACTTGTAGTGTTGCAAGAACAGTTTAAGCTGTTAACTTCTGAGAAGAACGATTCCAAAGGTGAAGAAGATGAGAACACCGTGGAAATCCTCAGTCGTTTCTCTAACTTTCTAAAGACTGCGGAAGAAGAGAAGATTCAGCATGAGGATGCACTCAAGGAGCTTCGAGGGATTATCAGTAGGAAAGACGAGGAGATTGCTGATCTCACCACAAAGCTTTCTTCATCACAGGACGAGGAGCAGCTTGTTGCTGCAACGGATAGGATTTTGCTTTCTCTTAGTAATGTGTTTGGGCAAGAAGAGCCGCAGTATGGCTCTTCCGTCTCTGAAAAGATTGCTCATTTGGAGAGCGGAGTTGCGTTTTTGAGTGCTAAGTATACTGAGTTTTACTACGGTGCTGATCAGTTGAGGAAGTGTTTGGCTAGTGAGGAGGCTGATCTTCGTTTCCAAGAGGATTTTGGTTCAGCTCTTGTTGGTGCTTGCTCTCAGTTACTTGAGCTCAAAGAGAAAGAGACATCTCTTTATGAAAGACTTACCCATCTAGAAGATGAAAATAGGAAACTAGTTGAGCAGGTGGATAAAGATAGTGAAATGATTGAGTCCATGAATGCTGAGTCTGGTAAATTGAAGGCAGAGCTTGAGCAGGAGAAGACAAAGTGTATTAACACGAAAGAGAAGCTCAGCATGGCTGTAACGAAGGGGAAGGCGTTAGTTCAGAACCGAGACGCTCTAAAGCATCAAATATCTGAAAAAACAACGGAGCTTGAGAATAGGTTGGCAGAATTACAAGAGAAGACGGTTGCTCTTGAAACTTCTGAGTTACTGAAAGGGCAGCTTGAACAATCTTTAGCTGAGATGGCTGATGAACTTGAGAAGTCCTCTACTGAATTGCGTGATAAGTCTGCATCTCTGGAAGCATGTGAGGTGGCAAAGAGGGAGTTGGAACGTTCTCTAGATGAGAAAACAAAAGAACTTGAAGAGTGTTTGGTGAAACTACAAGATATGTCAACCACATCGGATGAATCTGAATTCATCAAAGGTGATTTAGTAAAATCCGAAGCTATGGTTGCATCATATCAGGAAATGGTGTCGTCAAAGAGCTCAATCATTGAAAATATTGAAACCATCTTGTCACACATAGATGATACTTCTGAAGAAGGTCAGTCTTTAGATGTCATTGGAAAAGTTAGATCACTTGTAGAAGAGAGGGAAGAGCTCCAAAAGGCTTCTCAGGAATACAACAGACTAAAGGATGTGATCTTCTCCATTGACTTACCTGAGGAGATCTCCGAATCCAGCTTAGAAGCTCGCTTAATTTGGCTTAGGGACTCATTTTTACAGGCAAAGGATGAAGTTAGCACCCTGCAGAATCAGATAGAACGCTTAAGTATGTCTCTTTCAGCAGAAATGGAGGAGAAAAGTAGCATTAGACAGGAACTTGATGATATAACTTTCAGGTTTAAAACAGTGGAAGAAACTGCAGAGAGAGATTCTTTGGAAAGAGAGGAAATTGTGAGGAGACTTGTGGAAGCCTCTGGCGTGATGGCAGAAGGAGTTGAACATCATACTGTTCTTGTAGATAGATCTTTTGATCAGATAGAAAAGAAAATCAGGGACTCTAGTGACAGTTCTTACGGCAACGAAGAATCATTTGAAAGATTTCAAAGTCTCCTTTATGCTAGTGGTCTGGAGTTGTCACTTTGTAAGGAAATGTTAGGAGAGGAAACGCTGGCTAGTTTGCAGTTAAGCAATCTCTCAACTGATCTAAAAACCGTATCTCAAGAACTTGCTTCAGTGAAAGAAGAAAAACGTGCTTTGGAGACAGATCTTGAGAGGTCAGAGGAGAAATCTGCTTTGCTCAAAGACAAACTCTCCATGGCTATCAAGAAAGGCAAGGGACTTGTTCAAGATAGGGAGAAGTTGAAAACTCAATTGGATGAGAAGAACTCTGAAATCGAGAAGCTTATGCTCGAGTTGCAGGAGTTAACTGGTACGGTTGATAGCTACAAGAATCAGATAAATATGTTATCAGGAGACTTAGAGCGGACAAAGGAGCTAGAGGATGAGCTTGTTGCTATTAAAGATGAAAGAGATGAGCTTAAGCAGTCTTTATCTCTTAATGACACCTTGTTGCAGAAAGTGATGAAATCAGTTGAAACTATGAGTATCCCTGTTGATTTAGCAACTGAGGATTCTTCAGAAAAGATTGACAGACTTGCTGGGTACTTCAAGGAAGTGGAGCAGGCTAGAGTAGAGGAGCAAGAAGAGCTAGAAAAGGTAAGAGAAGAAGCAAATACATTAGCCAGTAAATTAGCAGAAACCCACACAGCCTTGAAGTTGGTTGAGGATGCATTGTCTGCTGCAGAGGGTAACATCGATAGACTTGCTGAGGAGAATAGGCAAGTCCAAGCTGCCAAGGAACATGTTGAGCTTGAGCTGCAGAAAGCAGTTGGACAGGCCTCCTCTCTGTCTAGCGAACTGGATGAAGCTTGTGCTACGAGGAATACGGTTGAAGCTGCACTCATGCAAGCTGAAAGAAATATATCTGATATCATCAGTGAAAAGGAAGAAGCTCAAAGTAGTACTGCTACTGCAGAGATTGAGCTCGAGAAGGTGAAAGAAGAAGTTTTAGATCAGAATAACAAATTAACAGAAGCAGCTAGCACCATACAATCACTTAAAGATACACTTACTCAGACGGAGAGCAACATGGATTCGCTGTCCAAACAAATTGAAGATGACAAAGCTCTTACTACAGATTTGAAGAATGAGTTAGAGACGCTTCAAAATGAGGTAGAGTTAGAGCGTAGCAAGATGGCTGAAGCTTCCTTGACTATAGGATCCCTGGAAGAGGCACTAATGAAGGCGGAGAATAGCCTTTCTGTCTTACAAGGAGAAATGGTGAAAGCTGAAGTCGAGAAATCAACTCTGAGTAGTAAACTTAATGTATGCATGGAAGAGTTAGCTGGATCAAATGGGAACTCCCAAAGCAAATCTATGGAGATTATTTCTCATCTTGATAATCTCCAGATGGTTCTGAAGGATGGAAGGGTGATTTCCAGGGTGAATGAATTCCTTGAAAGGAAATTTAAGAGCCTGAGAGACATGGATGTCCTTGTTAAAGATATCATATTAAATTTTGGTGAGAAGGGATTAGCTGGGGAAATGAACCACGTTACAGAGGTAACATTATTCTTGAACCTTACCATATCAACCCTTCTTCTATTTATTGACTTTTTCATATCAGTTTATGGATCTTCTCTTGCGGGATTTGTTATAATAGTGTTCTCTTGACGCTGTATATATTTCCAGGATGATTCGACTGTGGCACAATCATTGTTGAGTGGTCTTGAAGATTCAGTGGACACAGAGCTGGAGAACAGCAGAGAGAATGCAGCTGATGAAAACGAAATTTCTTCATCTCTTAGGAAGATCACAGAGGGAGTCAAGCTTAGAAACACAATACTCGAGAAAAACTTCGCCGTTTTCTCAACTTCCGTTGATACAATCATTGCGGCGTTGATGGAGAACATGACAGCAGCCAGGGCTGATGTGATAAAGGTCGTGAGTCATAATGAGTCCCTGAAAGAACAGGTGAGGAGTGCTGAAGATATTGTTCGCGAACAGGAAAACACTATAGCTGCAATACAAACAGATTTGTCATCTTTGATGTCTGTATGTGGCGAGGCTGCCAGCGAACTGCAGTTGGAAGTGAAAAATGACCTCCTAGAGTTGGTTCAGTTCCAAGAAAATGACAACGGTGGTGAGAATGAATCAACTGAACATCAACCGGAGCTTCATGTAAGTGAATGCGCCCAAAGAGCGAAAGAACTATCTTCTGCCTCAGAGAAGGCACGTACTGCTCTTAAGCTCTTTGGGACAACAAGTAATGCAGCTGCTGTTCTCATCCGAGATATGGAGGACAGACTAAAAGAAGCATCTGACGCTCTAGAAAAGGTTATGTTAGAAAGAGATCTAAACCAAACTAAGGTTTTAGATTCGGAGGCCAAGGTGGAATCTATGGAAGTGTTTTGCCAAGATCTGAAACTTCAGCTGGACAATCTCAAAGCCGAAGAAGAGAAATGGCATGAAAAAGAGGTGGAACTTTCTACATTATATGATAAACTGCAGGTGCAAGAGCAAGGTATATATTTTTCTTTTTTTTTTGTCGTCTCTCAGTTCGTTCAATCTTTTTTAACACGTTTACCACTTTTCTCAAATCTCACTTACTGTCTCCTCGAGTTGCAGAAGCAAAGGAAAACCTAATTCCAGCTTCTGATATACGTGACCTTTTTGACAAGATAAATGGTATTGAGATGCCTTCAGTAGATCAGGCCGATGAGTTAGATCCACAGAGTCCATATGATGTAAAGAAGCTATTTGCGGTTGTTGATAGTATTACTAAGATGCAGCATCAGATAGACCTCTTATCATATGAACAAAAAGAGGTCAACTCCACATTGGCAGAAAAGGATCTTGAAATTGAAGCTCTGAAGCAGGCAGCTGAAGCAAAGAGTACCACCGAGCTAGAGTTAGTGAAGGCAAATAAAGAGTTGTCCAAGCTAATATCTGGCTTGGAGAAACTGCTTGGTATATTGGCGGGTAATGAGGCTATTGAAGACAGAGACTTCTCTGAGTCATGGACACTCTTACAAGCACTAGAGAGAAAAATAGCTTCCCTTCTCCTAGAGTCAGAGAGTTCAAAATCAAGGACCCAAGAACTTGGTCTAAAGTTAGTCAGCAGCGAAAAACTAGTGGATAAATTATCACTAAAAGTCAAAGAAATTGAGGATGAACTTCAAAGCAAAGCCATTCAGCCTGATGTTGTTCATGAAAGAAGCATCTTTGAAGCACCAAGAGTATCTTCTACTTCAGAGATATCCGAGATTGAGGACAAGGTAAGATTGTGTATGTTATTTCAGCTTATTAATTATTATTGAACCTTGTGAATGCCATCTATGGCATAATTGTCTAGGTATATTTTATATATGTGCTGCTAAGTTATGACCTTAAAACTAGATAATATTATTTTGAATATTAAAAATCATTTGGGCTGGAAATGTTTTGTGCTCAGGGAAAAAAATCAATATCAGCTGTGCCTACAGCAGCACAAGTGAGAATGGTGAGGAAAGCATCAACGGATGATCATCTTGCAATCAACATAGATTCAGAGTCCACGCATCTGATGAACCACAACGAAGCAGATGAAGATAAAGGTCAGAACTGGGGCGCCTACATATATATCTCGTTTATTGCAGCCTCTAAGCTCACTCATGTTAAACACAATCTATTTTTTCTTTGGCAGGACATGTTTTCAAGTCTCTCAACATGTCTGGTCTGATTCCAACGCAAGGGAAGATGATAGCAGATCGTGTCGATGGAATATGGTAAACACTCGGTCATATCAAAAGCGCTCTTGAGTTGTTGTTCATCTTATTGAGCGATGTGTTTGATTTGTGTAATTTAGGGTCTCAGGTGGAAGAGTATTAATGAGCCGTCCTCAAGCAAGGCTTGGCGTTATGGTATACAGTCTCTTATTGCATCTGTGGCTCCTAGCTTCCATCTTGTAACAAGACAGGTGATTGATATCTCTTAGGTACTATACACAACAGAAACACAGCTTTTCCATATTCTTCAACATTCTTTGTCGACCCCGTAAGAAGAGAATGATAGATGTCGTCTTGTATATCCTGAATAATGTCTCAGCCTTTTTTTTCATCTAGCTCGTCAGTTTCACAGTCCTAGAATATTTAATTAGGACTCAGTACGTTATTACAGATTTACGGGTGGTTGTTTTGTCTTCAACATTGGTTCCAGGACTTAAGAACAGTTTTGCCTTTTACGTCTGCTAAGACTTTCAAGTTTGTAATGACTGTAAAATGTTTTGTGATATTAGAGCACTCTCAATGGGGATGTCAAAAAGGTTCTAGTTAATAAAGTAAACAGAAATTTTGCAAAGGAAAAAGTTGAAGGAACGTAAGATGTGTTCTTATTTGAGATACTAAAAGAATTTGAGAATTCTAATGGCCTTTCCACAGAGACAATATTACCACTGTAATAAAAAAAAAAAAAAAAGAATATCATGCCATATAACCACACAAAAAAACATAAATTCACTAACTATCCAAAACAATCCATCTTTCTACTTTGTCTTCCTATCCCTCTCTAAATTCTTCCTACAAAACTATTTTTTTTTTCTTTTTAGCTATTACACATAAACTGAAAACACATTAAATGTACAAGAATACTTGTATTCTCACAGGATTTTCTCTAATAAGAGAATTAGCCTTATTTTCTAAACAATGAGACATGGCTACATCTGTGATGAAAAAAATGAATAGAAAATGCAAACACTACATTACAATCTAAGTCACTGAAGTTTCATTCTGTTTGGTTCAGTGCCGAAAAAAATGGAATAAATTCAAAATCAGGAACACAAATGAGGATGTTCTTAAAGTAAAAGCTTACAAGAGAGGAAAAAATGTTGAATAGTATCAAAAGCTAATACAAAAGCATACAAAAGAGGAAAAGGGAAGCAGAGCCGACCATGAGATTTTGGAGGTCCTAGACGATCTTTTAAAAATTTCAGCTAAGAAAATTTTCTAACTAATTTGGGAACCTAAAAAAAAACTTTTTTGGGGTTTATATATATATATATATATAATTTTCTGAAATTTTTGGGAGCATGAGACAAATGTTTCAACAGGCTTGTCCATGACCGATCCTGAAAAGAAGAAGTAAATCATCAGTATTCAGAATTAGAGATGACATCGTCAATCTTTAGCATCATCTTAACGACTTGAGTTGCAAGCAAAGTCTGCTGCTGCTTCCCTATCAATGTTACAAACAAATTTTACTCCCTCATATAGTTTGTTCCCACATGTTGCAATCTATCTTATAAAACGGAATATTCTCCTGTTCATCATACATACACCCACAGAGACAGATGACATGGTTTCATCCAGTCACCAACCAAACAAACCGATGGTAGAGCATCTTGGATACTACGCCTCGTTTCTTCTATCATCATTTTGTTACCTAAACCGTAAACCATACCCCATAACGAATTGTTAATCAATCAGTACAATATTTTGTCTACCATATACATTGAAGCATATTTAACAAATAAGCGAAAAGGCTATGAGTACCTCCACGGATGAAAATAGTGACAGCTTTTGAGTTCGCACAGTGCTCAATATACAGCATTCGTTCTTTCGTTGTGCGAAATGATTTTTCACGGACAATGGCCAGCCTAAGAACATGCATAAGTGTGGGGATTTAATGGTCTGATTAATAGATAACGTTCCAATTATTTAATTGGGAAACACCAAGTGAAAGTGAATAGTACCTTACCTTCCCTAGCTTCTCTGGGGTCAACTCCTGGAATCTTGGAACAATTCTGCCGCCTACATAAACACAAATATCTTATCAGCTCTACATAAACTGATTAAATCATTAGCAGTAGATGCTTGGAGACATGTCATACCTGTGGCTATTAATGCGATAATTCTAATTCAACACCCCCCGACCCAACTGTTAGTAGGTAAAATTCATGTGCATCAGTATCGGTCCTGAGGAAAAGCATTACAAGCAACAGCTTCTAGCCCTAAAAAATACTTGAAAAATCTGTTTTTTTTAGAAGAAAATTATTATTATGGTATACAAACGTTTTTATAAAAGTGGCCAATTTTTAGAAAATTGTTTATGATCTTTTCCATGTTAGGACCGGTAATTTACATGCATCAATAGATGGTTTGCCCTCATCATCGAATCCCCACCTTAAAATCTGCATGGTCGTGGAAGATATGTGACATAGTGGTCAAAGTTTATTACACTAGGTTTAGTGATTTTTGGAAAGAACAATTTCTTAGAAATTATAAGACGTACGCTTATCAGAACTTGAAAATTATATGTAGAGTAGAGCACCACCTACCGCAGAGAGACATATTCATTGAAGTGTCACACATAAAGAAACATTCGTGGATCCAAATGTTATGGAGATAGTTAAATCGTGAAATTATTTATCATAATCGTATATGTTACAACGTACATGTAATTAATCATCATCGTATGTAATAAAAGAAATATAATATATAGTGATGTAATAGATTATTTAGAAAAAAAATTATGTGGTAAAACTATGATTAATCCAATTTCTTAATTGGGATTCTCACCTTCGTGTAATAGGTGGTTCTTAGTTTTTCTTAGGTTTTATCTAAAAATATTAAGAACTATCTCTTATATAAGAGATATAAAAACCGTCTCTTAATCATAAAGTGTAAAAAAAAAAAAAAATCATAAGTAAAGAACTCTCAATTAAGGGACCGGGGTTAATTATGCTCTAAATATTTCTGATTTAAGAGCTCCCAGAAATATCAATTGTTAATGAAATAAACAGTTAACATGAACTATCACAAACACATGCCATATATTTTTACTTGTGGATGTGATATGCTGCATATGCAGCTTGTTGTTCGTTTTACCATTAGTTAATAATTGGTTGCAAAACACTAATTAATATCAATGAAAAGTAACGTTTTAAATTTTTAATATTTCTGTGATCCACAACTAATCGATGTGACATAGTAAAAAATATTTGATTGTAAGTTGCATATCCCAACCATAAACGAACAAGAAAATCCGAGTTATAATTTATAAATTTCACATCTAAAATCAGTTTCCAGTTAAGGCCGAGTGAATAATAATGTATCAATTATTCTCTTATTTGATCAAATGATCAATTCAATTAACTCAATATTAATTAGAAAACAATGGTATGCATTCGTCTTAGTGAACTCTATAACAAGCGTATAAAATAGTAAAAATTCATATTGTCTACATTTATTTTATCCGGTTCATGAACGAATGACATGTTCAAATACCTGTATTGACTCAGTTCTTTGGCATGTTACCATTCTTTCTCTTAAATGGTTTACATTTTTTTGAACAATAGATGCTTATATTAAATTAAAGGTTCAATGGCTAAATCGGTTACAACCGGAGAGATCCAGGTAAAACGATAAACGGCTTAATTGGCTAACTACCATTCAAAAATATGTATCTTAGCAAACCCATTTTTAGGCATTCCATTAGATTGAACGGCATTCCTCTATATTAGTACAAACGTTTTCTGTTTTGTTTTCTTTATCAATCACACAAGACAACTATATATACACACCAGACCCATCTCTTCTCCAATCATCACAATCTCGAAACCTCAAACCTTAGAATAATTTTTTAACGTTGAAGGAGAGAACAGAGAAGAATAATGGGTCGCCAAAACGTTTTCGTAGTGTTTGGCCTCGTTTTCTTGGCCGTTCTTGGCCTCGCCGCAGCTGCCTCATCTCCATCTCCTTCAGCGTCACCCTCCAAATCTCCTTCTACCTCCACAACTGTGGTTGAAGCTCCAGTGTCCGAGGATACCATTGGAACCACCGACGACGATGCAGCTGCTTCTCCTGGTGATGGTGACGTGGCTGTTGCTGGTCCTCTAGGAAGTGACTCCGACGACGGTACTTTCATTGTACCTGTAGGCTCTGACGATTCTGCTGACAACGGCGCAGCGGCTCTTGGTGTCTCTGCGGTTGTCGTTGGTGTTACATCCATCGCTGGTTCTTTCTTGTTTCTCTGAGGTGTGTATTATCATGAGAAGATCATTCTCAATGAAGATTATTAATGTGTATGGATGATTGTGATGATAATATTGTTACTCGTTGTAATAAAACTGGAAAAACGAAACTTCCCATTAACAATGTTACAATGATAACATAAAGAATTACGGATTAAATTATATGTGAAATGCCAAATATATATACCCATATCACTTTTTATTAAAATATTCATATAACCGCTGATACAATCTTTCTCGAAATGCATTTGTTTGATATGGGACAATGTAGAAGGACATATCATTTCCAACGGAGTTTTAATTGTAGATAACATACCATTTTTTTGTAGGCATAGTTTTTTTTGGTCTAAATGTTACGATTAATACCATTTTTTAGAGTTTACATGTTGTAAAAACAACTTATTACAAAGAAAGAAAACAAGGAGCAAGAGAGCAGAAGAGCAAGAGACCCAAAGCACCATTAGCTATAAGGGGATAGAAACCAAAAGTAAAGCTCAAGCAGAGAAGGTGGGAGAGCGGTTCGAGCAGGTCGAGACAGTGACAGAAGCCTATCTCTCATGGTCCAGTCCACCACGCGGAAGAACGCCTTTTGAGTCAAGGAGACATGTTTGAAAATGCGTGCATTACGTTCACGCCATAGATTATAGATGATGACTTGATTGAGAAGCTTCAGCACTGCTACTGCCGTGGGCATGAGGTCCCTGAAGTTTCTGGCACATGTCTGATGAATTATGCTAGAGAATTTGGAGGAGATGCCATAAACCTGCCACAAAAACAATTCTAACTAGCAGCAAAAAAAGGGCATCTAAAAAATAGATGATTAATAGATTCATCAGATTGAGAACATAGAATACAACCTGACTGGACATTAAACCCTAAGTTAATCAAACGATCTCGAATAGGTAACCTTCCAAGGAAGGTAGTTCAAGAGATAAACGAGCATCGAGGTATTTCCTTCTTAAACCAAACCATAGTTTATTTTAGGAAACGAGTTGACGCTGAAAAATTTCTACAAAACATGTCTCGCTAAATTAAGTTTTGGCCAATCTGTACATCTTGAAAAGTCGTGACACAAATGATGCAATATATGATTTTTTTTTTTGTCTTTTGGGGGTAAATGTTGCTTATATTAAACTGAATCATTCGTGATACCATTTGAACTGAATGAATATTTATTCCACTAATTTAATATAATATGTTAAAATAAATGAAACGAAATAGAAATAGAAATGTCTCATGAATAGATGAAATAGAATCATTGAAAAGATAAAAATAACCTTTTTATATTAATTAAAATTTTTATTTATTTTAAATTAAATATGATTATATTCCGATAAAAGACTACATTCATGATACATAAACATTTAGGCTCTAACTGGTAACCATCACAAGAACATCAAGAACAAATAAAAAAAGAATAGATGGGAATAAAATTATGGGAATGAAGAGGAATAGTTATTCCATATCAAGTTTAATAAGGAACAAATTTGTTCAATAAATCTCTACAATAAAAGGAATGATGAGGAATAGAAAGGAAAAGCTATTCCTTAGGAATGGTAAATTTTTTGAGAAATATTAAAGAATGTATTGTTCCTCCTCATTCCTTTGGTCACCATTCATAGCCTTATAGTTCCATTCATCTTATTCTTTAACTGCCATTATTCCACTTAACTAATCTCATGCATCGTATTCATAACACTTAAAACCAGTTACAGCCAATAGTGTTTTTGCTAAGTAGGCTTCAAACATAGACAGTGTTGGGATCGTGAAGAGGCCATATTTAATTCTATATTCTCATATTCAATATACGATATTGTACATTTTAAGCCTAATTGATAAGTTTGCATAGATTTATTTTTGGTTTCATTCCCCAAAAGCCTTATACTATTAGAATTGCAATTCTCTTTATATATTAGACATTTCTTAATTATCTAATACTCCATGTAGAACTTTGTTTATCATATTCTTCCCCTTAAACTAAGGACCACATTCATCGCATGTGTTTATCCTTCAGCGAATCATCTTGGCACCACTTTGTACCAGAAATCACAGAATTTCTTTTAAAAATGTTTCTCCCACAATATCACAGATTCCATGATCTTCTTACTAGTTTTGCCACAGACTTTCCTTCTTACACGAAGGGTCTCTTTCCATCTTGAAGGATATTTTGGTCTTCTTGCATAACTTCGTCGAACCGCTCTGATACCAATTGTTAGGATTATGAAGAGCCCATATTCAACTCTATATTTTTTTAAAAATAACATTTAAAATAGAAAATAACCTATACAAATATATATTTAATACCAGTTTTATGTATATAATATTATTTTGAAAATTTTATATTTGTTGGAAATTGTTTTTGATGAAATTGTCCAAATCATATATTAATGTAGTATTTTTGTTACTTTATTTAAAAATCCAACATCATATTAATAGTTTAATTTTAAACATTAGTTGTATATGAACTAATACAAATTTTATTATTATTTTTGGTTATAAATTTTTATTCTCAAAATTTTTGTATGTGACGAAATTAAATTATTTAATATTATATTTGAAAAATATTATTTTATTTAACATATTATATTTCAGTTTGGTGTTTTTATTTTTACTACAAAAATCAAACATAAATGTTACAACCAATAAACTAATATTTATTTTTGTTTTATATAAAAATTTAGTATGATAACTTGGGCTGTACTATTTTATTTCAAAATTAATTAATGAAAATATATTTGTCTTTTCTTAGGAATGTTGTTGTTTAGATGTATATTGTTTTTGTTAGGAAAATATCATATATGAGTAAATTTAGGATGTCTAGTTAAGTTTCATATATATGGTCTACCATATACTTTTGTATGGTAGATAAAAAAGAGGACCCTAAATTAATAGAGTAGATATCATTGGTGATATGATAATTAATGGGTAATTATTTTATAATTTTATCCATGTATAAGCTATTTTAGAGTTTATACCTTTTTGTAAATCTAGCTAAAAACTTTCAAAATTTTTGGGGGTCCTGGTCAATGTTTCACTTGCCTATGCCCAGATACGGCCCTAGTTATATAGTTGTATTACCAAAGTCCGACCAGTTTTTGAGGTGAGCAGCTCTCGCAGTTAGAAGATGCATGCAACACACTTAAAAGATAAACATGATTTACAATTTTTAGTCTAACGAAAATGTACGTGTACGCAAAATACTAGGATGTTGGAAAAAGAAATAAACCACAACGATGAAGTTCAGTTCTATTTTGTCGCTTGATGATATTGATAAACTAACCATAAGAACTTTCTTCTGATGAAATTTCAAAAAATTAACAACAATCGTTATTGCGATAACATTAGATGGAAACGGGAAACACATTGGACAATCTACAGAATTGTTATTTTACACACTTTTTATCATTTTTGACTCTTTGTTTCGGATTGATATTTTGTCAATATACTTGTTTGTAACACAATATAGTATCAAATCAATAAATCATTCTCCTTTGGATTTGAATACTTAATCGATACAAATCACTCCATGTTTATATCTCTTTATTAGACACTAGTTTACAAAGAATGAAAACAAATTAATGTATAGACTTTAGTTCTTGTTAGAGCACATATCTGAGCATGAATCCACACATACCGATACTTTCTCCACGTGATCTGCTCATAACAAAACAAAATTCCAAAAGAAATTTAATTAGGATAAAATTAAATCAAATGATTAAAAACTTCAAACATTCTAAGACATCTACTTAATATATTCATAGCACCTCCACCAGGGGTCCTTAGACGAGAATCCGTAGGGAAAAAATAATTAAATAATCAGTAGACCCTACAAAAAGTTAAGGATTCAATTCTTATAATCCTTAAATAAAGACTGTTTCTTAGCGAATCCTTACACTATTTGCGGGTTCTCAGAACACATGGCAGCTCGCGAATAGTCATATTTTTTTTTCTATTTTTAAAAAAAATAAAAAATCTGAAATATTTTTACCAAATCTAAAATACCATTTTTCTTAAGAACTCCTATGAGTCTCACGGTTGCGGATGCTCTCAGATACACATGATTGAAGTGTATATAAACACAAGAATATAAAACGTACGCTCATCTTCGATCGTGGAGGATGGAACACAACGATTGGTAGCACATCCGAGTCTGCAAAAATAATCAGTCTGGTGTATTTTCTGAAGATTTAGTTCAGAAGGTTGTATACAAATCGCGAGACATGTGAAAGGACATGTCAATGTACTTAATCCATTTGCACCACAAGTCGAAGTACAACCTGGGAAACATTCTTGAAAACCCATACCCTCTGTCTCGACCAAAAGGCTCCCTATTATCACCACTAACATCGCGATTATTTTGTTCTCCATATTTTCTTGTGGATAATAAAAATCTTTATACAAAGAATATTATCAAAATTGACTGAAAGTGTTTGTTGAGTATGAATGTTGGTTTGTGTAACTAGGTTACAAGGGTTTGTATATATATATATAGGGACTGTGTTCTATCTTTGTGTTAACTATAGTCAACATTTTCATATTTAGTAATAAATTAGTTTTTGATATGCTATGGTATAATAATATCGTAGGTAATTAATCCTAGTCAATCCACTTAGAATATTGGGATTTCTGACGTTACACATTCTAGATATGGTTAGAATCTATTTTTATGATACGAAGTTATGCATAAACTTAACGTGTATATATCATTTTCTTGAGAATATGTTTCAAACTATTTAAAAAATGGAATATTACTTTCTATTTTATTCATATGATCATACCATTTTTCGCGGTAACTAATAGTTGTTTCTTAGTAAATATTTTAAAATACCAATGGCTTTTATTTTTATACTTATCAGATAAAAATTATTCTTTAAGATATTATTTATCAGTTTCAAACCCTTTTGAAATGAAATTTATAGATTTAAAATTATATACACCCCCAGAGAGAAGTGATAGCCACTCCATTTAGAACTGGAACAAATAGAGTTGATAAAGATATAGTAAATATGGCAGATATAAAAGTAGTTTATGAACAAAATAATTATCAAAATTAAATATTTCATACTATTTCACGACAAATAGAACATATAGACAATAAATTAGACAAGAATGAATATAATCTAATAACTTATTACCAAACCCTAACACATCCTTTAATTCTATTTTAACACCCGTTTTCAAACCTTTGACCGAACCAGTTAAATTTCCAGAAAATGAGATTTTAAAATCTATCTTTAATAGACTAGAAAAATTAGATAAAAATAAAAGTATAAACAATATTGATGAAACTAACCAGATAGAAACTGATGAAGAAATAAATATCAATCGTATAAAAAAATTTCAACCTTCAAAAAACACCGTATTATCCTAGACACTCACCACTTGACCTATTATTTGAAGAACATCATAGGTTCCTAACCACAAACTTTTACACAGGAGAAGGTATATATGAATGGAATCTCGATGGTAGATCAGAACATGAGATGATGAATTTGTCTCAAGAAATGGGGATTGCTGATTTGACATATAAAGCTAAAGGCTTGACAGACAAACAAGCATGTATCCTCTTAATTTCATATAAAGCTAAAGGCTTTAACGTAGTTTATTATAGAGTCTTGAGATTGTATATATAACAAGCATGTATCCTCTTAATCTAATAAACTACGTTAAAACTAAAAGAGTAGAAAGGGAGGATGAACTTTATGAAGAAGAACAAATACAAAATGCTATAGAAGTATTATTACACACAATCACCATACATTTTGTAGGAAACCCTACTTAAGAATTAACTAGTAAGAAACTAATATTAACAAATGCGCAACCTTAAGAGATTGTAAATTATAAATATAAGAAGCATAACCTGGATTAAAGAAGTCAATGGTAGTTAAAATTGAGGTAATACACAAATATTTATAGTTCCATTCATCTTATTCTTTTAACTGCCATTTTTATTAATCTATCTCATGCATAGTATTCTTAAAACTTAAAACCAGTTACAGCCAATAGTTTTTTGCTAAGTAAGCTGCAAATATAGACACGGTCATTCATATTCAAACGTCAAGTCTACAACTGCCGTATCAAATACTAATTCCACTTACAAGGACTAGGCAACTTATGGGGGAAGTAACTTTGTTTTCACTAAAAAAAATATTACATCATGGAATTTAAAGGGTGTCGTCACTAGCAAGTTCTTGGTTGGGTTGCAGATCTTTCCTTTTTTTTTTTTTGCTAAATGGTAAATATCATAAACTAAAATGAGCAGTTAAAAGATTTTTACATACATCTTTCTTAGCAAAAATTGAAATAAAAAACAAGAAAGGTAGTAGATTAGTGGCCGATGGGGTGACTGAGTCATCTGATCCAAAGTGCCATGGTATTGGTGAAGTTGTGCCTCTTGTACCTTGCAGTTATGGTGTTCCTCACATCTCTGTCCATTAATCGAAAGGTTTCAGCATGAAGAAGATGTGCATTGTTGTGGAGAGCACTGTTTCTTTGTCTCCAAATATGGAGAGCACTGTTTCAGCATGAAGAAGATGTGTATTGGGTTGCAGATCTTCCACTTTAGAAGCAGTGATGGACCCATCAACGAGTGAAGAAAGAGCCGTACGCGTAGTCCATACGGGTTCATATTTTCGTGTCTTTCTCTTTTGGTCGACTCCTAACTCAGCTAATACATCTTTTCTTTATGCTTTTTCAATATCTTCCTCTCTTGACGATCTTTTTAGTCATATTTATCAAAACATGACCACGTTTTAGGGTAGTCATGTTAACTATATATATATCAATAAGCTAAAGCACCTTCCCGAGTCCTCGTATATTATACTTGATAAAGAAGGTTCCACACTTATAACTAACCGGCAGGATATTAAAAAAAAAAAAGGAAACTTTCAACGAATTAAAATGTTAGTCTTGCAATGACCATGTAAATAGTTAAAATGCAAATAAAGAGACCCCAAAAAAGCCAAGGATTCCATATATTAAGATAATATATGGAACATGTATTAAGATAATATATGGAACATATATTAAGATAATTACTAAATTTCTAGAATGTCTAAAACAAAACTTCTAGAATCTTGATCTTCTATGATATCTCTTGTCGTAATTCAGATAAATAAATGAAGTTATTAGGAACCGTTTCACTTCAAGCAAACCCGAAGATAATGAAATCATGTTTAAACAAAATCAACTGAGGTATTTTTGTTTGTATTTTTGGTAGTATGTATAATGACTTATGATAAGACCATATGACAAACTGAAGCTAGCTCGCATAAAACAGCTGATATTTCTCCTTATTACAAATTGGATGGTAGGTTCTTGGGAAACATATGAGAAAGACGGCATGAACCTTCCTACCAACCTTTCACTATTCTTTGGCTGACTATCTCCTGTCATTGCTGCTTCCCAGTCTACTCCGGGTAACGACCTGAGTTTTCCAACTTGTATTTTTGTAAAGAAACAAACACTATTTATCCATTTGGTTAAGCTATTAAATATGGCTCCGTTCGGACATTGACTCCATTCATTGTGTCTTTCTTTTAGTTAACAACTTTCCAGCGACGATGTGACCAATCTCTTTAGTCTCGTGTTTCGTCCAAGTTCCCACTTATGCACTCACACCCATTTATTAGTTACTATTGATGAAAATGATTCAACATACCAAAAGTGCGTCTACATCTTCATAAACCTCATAGTTTTTTTTTTTGATAACCCAGTATCCGACCACTAAGCGTGATCGACTAGCCCACCGGGTCTAAGCCCATGCCATGACAGGATTTTTAAGCGTCCACTTAAGGGCCCCTGGTTACGCTAAGTGGTCTGGAGCGCCACACCAACTCCGCAGGTAAATTATGTGGTGGCCGGGCTTCGAAGTCGGATGGCGGGCACCTCAGCCGAGGTTCCTTTACCACCAGGCTACGAAGCCCGGTTAAACCTCATAGTTTAGCTGTTGATGATAGAATTGGCTCATAGTTACAGGGTCCTACTCTCTCCTTGACTCATGCGCTATCTTCCAACCTCATCAATGCTGTATCGCAAACCCATTGTCTTTCTTTTTCCTTGTTTTTTGAGTTCTTGTTCTTTACCCCCACAAACAGTCAAACACACCATTGTCATTGGGTATTTTTGACTATGCTTCTTATTTTACCATAACACCCACTTGATATTTTAGTTTATATATCTATTATATATATATATTTATATTTTTTTTTTTAATTGATGTATTTTAATTGAAAATCTGAATATAAAGTTATGAGTGTTAAATTTTATTGGAAAAAAATAATTTACAAACAGAGCTAAGAATACTAAAGCAATAAGTAATTTTTAGCATCTGTTCAAAATCTAAAACATGAAATTTAAAAAATATATAAAATTTACAATAATTTAATTGAACACCCAAACCAGGAAAAAAAAACTAAAATACTTATTCTGACCAAAAGTAATACAAATTGTATAATATTATATACACCAATTTAAAATTATGAAATTCAAAAATAAATAAAGAATTATATATAAAATATAAAAATATTTATTAAATTAAATTTTGTAGGTTGACAAGAAAAAACTAAATTTTTTAGGAAATAATCTCAAGCTTTTAAATAACCAGTTGAAATATAGTATATATATATATTTGCATCTCTTTCATCATCTCCACCTTCACATAGACGAACCTAACATCTCTCACCAAACGAAGCTTTACTAGAAAGAGAAACTAAACGAGCATGCGGGTTATCTCATGGCTATTCGATTCAGAACCTTCTTCCAGGAGAAGACGAACACCAAAATCTCCAACACATTTGGATTCCCTCGACAGCGCCACGTCATCTTCACTCAGCGAAGCCACCGGCTCCACCAGTCTCCACAGCACTCTCTCTCTCCAGACACTCCCTTCCGTTCCCTCTCTTCAGAAACTCCCCTCCGAGAGTACTCTCGCCGTCACCGTCACCTCCTCGTTCAAACTCAGGGAACGGAGTCTCCCCGTCACTTGTCTCGCCGTCAACGGCGGTTATCTCTTCGCGGTCTCCGGACACGAGGTCAGCATCTACGATCGCGCCATGTGTGCTCATCTCGACACTTTCAACGGTCAGGATCCTTTCTCGGGAACCGTTAAGTCCGTCGGTTTCTACGGTGAGAAGATTTTTACTGCTCATCAGGACGGTAAAATCGGAGTTTGGAAATTAACCGCGAAAAACGGTTACAAACAGTTAACGACTCTGCCAACGTTAAACGACCGTTTGCGACGTTTCGCTCTTCCTAGAAACTACGTTCAGGTTCGTCGTCATAGAAAACGTCTCTGGATCGAACACGCTGACGCCGTTACCGCTCTCGCCGTTAATAACGGATTCATTTACTCTGTTTCTTGGGACAAGACCTTGAAAATATGGAGAGCTTCCGATCTTCGTTGTAAGGAATCAATAAAAGCACACGATGACGCCGTTAACGCCGTCGCCGTCTCTACTAACGGCACCGTTTACACTGGATCCGCGGATAGACGTATCCGGGTTTGGGCGAAACCCGCAGACTCGAAACGCCATAAGTTAGTCGCGACTTTGGAAAAGCATAAATCGGCGGTTAACGCTCTTGCATTAAATGAGGATGGTTCGGTTTTGTTCTCCGGTTCGTGTGACCGGTCTATTTTGGTTTGGGAGAGAGAGGATAGTTCTAATTACATGTCGGTGAGTGGTGCTTTGAGGGGACACGATAAAGCAATACTGATCTTGTTTAATGTGTCTGATTTGCTTATAAGTGGATCTGCTGATCGGACGGTCAGGATTTGGAGGCGTGGAACCGATGGTAGTTATAGTTGCTTAGAGGTGCTTACCGGTCACACGAAGCCGGTTAAGTCGCTTGCAGCGGTTAGAGATTCGGAGTTGGACGGTGTCGTTTCAATTGTTAGTGGTAGTCTTGACGGAGAGGTTAAGTGTTGGAAGGTCTCCGTCACCAAACCGGATAATTTAATTTGCACTGATCTTGTTTTATGATTTTTTTTTTTATAATTATTGTTTTTCTTTGGTCAAATTATTTTATTATTTGTTTGGCGAACAACAATTTGGCGTTTTTTAAACGTCAATTTGCAAACAATAGATTAATGCAGATACGTACCTGGAAGAGTAGTGCTATATATTTGTGTGAATGTAAGATTACGAGACAGAGTTTAGTAATAATGCTATTAGTATACTAAGGTCATTAGTGTTTAATAAAATGGTTTACAATTGAACAAGTGGACACACCTGCACATGTTTATTCCAGGCGTAGGAATGAAGATGCTGCCTGTCAGTCTGTTTTTTTCTCTGTATTAGATTCCCTATAGGTTTGTGATTGGTTGTCAGACAAATATACTTTGAAGTTATGTTTGGACTGTTTAGATGTAATAATAAGATACATTATATAAATATTTGCATGCAAAAGTTTATGAACCATAGTAAGATCCGTGAGAGAGGCTAAGATTTTTTTTTTTAACATCATGATAAGATACTATTATTTATTGATACTAAGATTGTCTTTTGTACGAAAATAGTTAAAAATGTTATAAACTGAGATCAAGACCAATTCCTAGGCCTATAAAACATAATCTTTCACTCATAACATCTACTAGTTGGATATGATTCATATGAATTCAATAGAGATGTGAGATTACAAGGATAAAATATTATTAGGCTTGCATTTATAATGAAAAGACCATATACTGATGTATTTTAACCCAAAGTGAATCAAAAAGGTACTTTGTTAGGTGCTTCATCTCTTGTGTTCTGGTTAGGAGTGGAGAAGAATAGTAGACAGTTCACACTATAATAATGATTTTCCAATTTTGAAGGAATCTTTTTTTTCACAAACAATGTTGTTAGTAAAGAACTAAAGATTCCTGTATCAAAGCATTACGAAAAAAAAACTAAAATCCTGAGTAAACAATGACGAGATTTTTCACAGTCACTCTCTTGTGTTCGGTCTAATGAACAATTTATATTTATTCATTGGTGAAAACTAAATTTTACTGTACCATATTCATAAACAATACTATTAAGTTTCTAATACCAAAAATCACTCTAAATATTATATTATCTACAATAATGATTGAAAATGATATAATATTTGATTCTGCAAATTTAAATATCATTGGTTTATCGATACATCATTATTTCATTGGTTTATCAATACATCATTTTCCTTCATTAGATCTTCCATTTGTTACACTCTTTTGCTGCCTGGTTGACGTCTTAGCCTTTTTGTTTAACTCTATTGAATAAAAGGGATTGTGTTTGACAAAAAAAAAAGAAAAAAAGTGATTATTCTAGCTACGATAAATGAATTTATCATATAAGGTTACTTAGCCATTAACTTAACAATTTTAGTCAAAAAAAAAAAAAAAAAACTTAACAACAAAATGGAGTCTTCTACTCGGGGTTGAATGAAAAAGGCTCAAACATGTAAACCAATGGATAAGATTAAAACTGTCACTGACAGACTGTAATCCATTCATTGTGATTACACAAAGCAAGACTGCAGTTATAGTGAAACATCTCTCTTTCATAGGTTGACCACAATAATGAAATTATAATTTTCTTTAGCATAAACAAGAAAGTACCAAATCATTTTCAAAGCAAGAAAAATACTTCGAAAATTAAAGAAAGCTACTTGGAATAGCCGACAAAGAAACAATGGATGCTTCAAAAAAGGACGAAGATAAATCACATAAATTCAACTTGTAAATAGTTCTATAGATTTTACCAAAAAAAAATAGTTCTATAGAAACTGCATGATAAGATATATTTTTATTTATTATTTTTGGCCAAACATGTACATTTTTGATGTGTTAGCATGTAAACATGTTGCTGATTTATTAGCAAAGAAAAATTAATACTTCTTGCCAACCAATCAAAAATACCCGAGTCCTAGTACAGGGACGTCGCCATTACACCAATCGTAGTATATCAAAAAAAATTTTTTGGTCAAATCGTAGTATATCAAAACATGGCCCATAGTTTCAGGGACTTTGAAATTGATCTAAAGGAGTAGGCTACATTAATTCTCCAATACAATTTTGAAAAAGACATGACACTAATTGTAATTATTATTCTGTAAGCTATCTAGCAAAGTTTGTGTGCATTGCTCAATGAGAACTTGCATATGTCCTAGGGGTGGACACGGATCGGATATCCGAGTTTTTTAAGGTATTTGTGATTTGCTTCGAATGTTACGGATATCTAATTTTAGTATTTGTTTTGCTTCGAAAAAATGCGGATATCCGGAAAAACGGATATCCGGAAAATAAATAGATATTTGCGGATATTTATGAATATTTACGGATATCTCATCCATTTTGATTAATACAAATAATCTCAAGATTTTGATACAAATTTGCTTTGCAAAAATATTTTTTTGCATGATATATAAAATAAAAATTAAAAAAATTAGTGAATTTACATATTTTATAATGTTTTTAAGTTTTTTTTGTCACTATAATGTTTTTAAGTTTAAGTTACAATTAAAATAACACAAAATTTTAGAAAAAATATAACTGTTATAATTTTTCTCTCTTTTTATGTAATACTTTTATATAAGTAATAATGTGAATAGAATTGTTTAAAATCACGTACTAGAATAATAATTATATAATTTTATATATTCAAAGTTTAAATATAATCAAGATATACATATATTTATATATTTCCGGATCGGATCGGATATCCGCTTCCCAAAATTTTAATATTTGTGATTTGCTTCGATTTTAACGGATATTAAATTTTAGTATTTGCTTTGATTCAAAAGTTTACAGATATCCGGAATTTTCGGATCGAATCGAAACGAATAACGAATCGAATCAAATATAACGGATAAAATGCTCAGCCCTATGTCCAACTCTGCTTCCTTGGATGAAAGAAACAGAGTATGTTATGTGGTAAGTTTTCAGCCACCACCACAGCACTTTAATTTACAGTTTGAGCCTATAAAGGTTAACTGTTAATTTTTTGTAAGTTCACTCTTGAAACAAAACTAGCTGATTTTTCCTTGGTATCCGAGTTAAGGGAACACATCCTCAACAACTGTAATATCCAAATAAACACCTCTTTTGTGTTAAGATCCAATAATGTATATCCACACATGATGTGTGTGGCTAATCTTACAATTTACGTTCATCATATATATGAATCATTTAAAATTTGTATGCTTAAAATCATAGTATATGTTTCTTCTACTATTTTCTACTACTCAGATGTACAGCCAGACAAATACGTAGACTGTACATCACACATTTTAGAAATAAATGGAATGAGAAGACCCATCTTGTGTGACAAAAGTGGACAAACTTGACACATACCTTAATACGTGTACGTGACCGTGAGAATGAAAAGTAGACATGCTAGTTGGCCAACTTGACCTCGTCTTATTACCAAACAAGTCAGTTCTCATGATGATATACTCCTTTTTCTATTCACGGATAGATATTTATCTTACAATCGTGTGGCCCAAAACTCTGGTTTCTTCTATGGTTATATAGTGGAGAAGATTGCTATCTGATTACGACCTTAGGATTTGCTAAATTCGAATATAGCTGCTCCCTAAATATCTCATCTCACAAATATGGATTCATGTGTGTGGATCTCGATTGCTGCAGGCGGGTTAAGTAGAAGATGACAAATATATAAACCTCATATGTGCATACTTATAATTTAAGTTTTGTACATTTATATAAGTGAAGTACGATATTATTAATTATGGACTGACTTATGGTGTGTGGTGTCTCGCGATTCACGACCTCATAACTCAAGTTTTAAAAGTCTACTACACAATAGTAGCTTATAACTTTCACGTCTGTTGTTTCAAAAAAAAAAAAAAAAAAAAAA